CAAAAGCGAGCAGTAGTAGTAGCCTACATCTGATATTCATCCGACCACTGGGGATCCACCTGCAGCTGACTAATTTGATTGCTACGTCATGCAGAAGTCTGCGTTCATTGGCCCATGATACCGGAAAAGCAGAGAAAATAGGACAGGTGGTAACACATATTTATTGTAGTAAAAGCGTCTCTTCTGTATCACGTGCAACTTTTGGAAGTGGGAACAAGGCAATATTTGTTACTAAATTTCTAAGGAACATTTTAAAATCATTTTCAGGTACCTTATGTGCGCTACGAAACTGAAAGATAAATGGCCTCGGCTCGCGGCCTAATTCTAGTAAAAACATACTGGGCACAGAAATAGAATTATATCATTGACAATATTAGCTTGATGAAGAACATTATCATTTGAATTAGATACATTAGAATATTCAATATCTTCTTCTGTGCAAGGAAAGTAAGATTACTTTGCTTTATGGATATTTCTGCGATTGCGACTATATCTCTTCCATCAGATTCAACAATGTAAGATCTTGGTAAGTAATGATTTTGTCATAGAGGGGTTTGATTCAATTGGATAAGGAGCTACCTATAAAATATAAAACAAATTGTGCAATATGACAGTTCATTCTCTATCAATATTTGTGTCATGAAGCACGGAGTTCCTCAAGGATCTTAACTTGGCCCATTATTCTTTCTAGCCTACATAAACGACATGCCTAGGTGTCTGGACTCTTCTGAGTAGTCAATCGTGTTTGCTGATAACACTGATTTGATTCTATTTGAGAAAAACTTGGAAAAACTATTGACAGTTGCAAACTTAGAACGGATCAACAATCATAACTTGATGTTGGTTAATAAATTATCTCTTAATATCAACAAAACTATTCTATGCCAGCAAACATTAAAATAGTGAGTTGCTCAAAAATCGTACTGCTCGATGGCAAAGAAATTGAATGAGGAAGAGAAATAAAATTCTTAGAAGTTATCTTTGATGAAAATCTTTCCTGGGTATCACAAATCGCGCATGTCATCAGTAAAACAAAAAGAAACTTGGCAGTTGCTGGCAAGGTATTCCAGTGTGTTAATCAATCAGCTTCACTATCAGTGTTTCAGTCATTATTACTTACTGTTTCTCAGTATGGTTTCATGGGAACCAAACAGTCGTCTCGAAATTGCAAATTATTTGTAATAATTTTTTGAGAATTGTTTTTGGGAAAAGAAGACGCGAAAACGCGAAGCATTACTTCAAACCCCTAAATATACTGAAGGTTGAAGATATGATGTGATTTGAAGTAGTATCATCAATTTTTGACTTTTATAATAATGCGCTACCAAACTGCTTTGACGACATACTTCTCAAAAGTACCTTCAACAAGAAGTAATTCTCATTTGTTCCTACCTTTCATGAGTAAATGCCCTATGTTATATTGGAACCAAACTGGGGGACTCTCTTCCCTTTAATTTGAAGATGTTAAAATCCTTAAAAATCATAACAGAAACAAGTTAAGTCCTACTTGCTATCCAAATATTGAATAACCACACTGATAAATACATTTTCTAGTATGTAATAGGCTACAATGTTCTGATATCTCGAACGCAAACGAATATCAAACCACAAGAGAAATAAATATTTTTTGTTGATGGACCAGTCGGGATTTGGGACACTCTGCACTTGCATATACTTATTTTCGTGGGTGCGAACTTTGAACAGTTATAACATTGCTATTGTTCCTGTAACTACTAATTATTGTATGAGTTTACCCGCTTCCCATTTTAATAACTTATCTGTCTAGTACTATAACAGTATATATTTACGCTATAACATTTGGGCAGGACATTTTTTGTCTGGTTATGTTTTCCTTATTCAACAGTAATTTACATACTTGGATAAAATTTTCTTTGGGTAGCTGTTCGCATTCTGACTTTTGCTTGTGCATGTTTTTTTTTCTTATTAATGTATTACACATGCATAGTTTATGTTTTTCATTTGGGTTGTGGAATTCCTTATGAGGGTTGTAGACATTATAATATATTTCCTGCAATAAATATTATTTATTGCAATTAGGCGAGCAGTCGAGCTACATTGGATTCCATCTTCAAGTTTTAATATGCTGTGGTTTTGAATTTATAACAATTTTCTCCTGTGTCCCAAACACAATTTCCTTTCAGGTCTTTCAACTAGCAGTTTAATGATAAATAATTAATGATCAATATTCCCTCAACAATTACTTCTCATAATAATAGGGTAGGCTTTTGCTATTTCCTAATATACGATCATTGAAAATCCTACTCGCAGATTTATTTTTCGTTCTCAGGTCGTTTCGCGATGATCAAATCAATGCAACATCTAGCTTGTCCAACAATGATAGCGTCAAGATCGATAAAATTTGCAAAGAATGACGAATCATCTATGCCAAATTTGCACTAGTAATCGACAACCTCAATTATACTTCCTTGTATAATATCTATGAATATAAATGAGAAAACCTTGAACCTTGACCTTAAGAACCTATATATTACCTTAACCTATTCTCCTACCTTCGTACCATACTGTCTTAATTAATTTTAATTACATATACCAGGGTGGTCCAAACTGCGGGCCGCACGCGCGGCCCGCGGAACAGTTTTAGCGTACACTAAACCATTGGCAGATATATGTATTTATTGGCAGAAAATGTTTGAGTTATTTTTAATCTATTTCAATTGGGAATAGTCCTTTTCGTAATCCAGATGTCGGGATAAATGTTTGTTAACATCATGGAATTTTAATGTTGTATCTAAAAACGTCGAGGCGGTGCCTATATGGGAATAACGTCCTGTGATCGGTCTCAGGAAAATGAATTGTCTCGTGCCGACAGGACCAAGCCGTTGAGATGAGTCGCGCTTTTTATCTAAACCTCAAACCTTAAGCTCAACGTCAAGAAACTCCTCATTTGAAGAGACGTTTTGTGCCTTTATTTTAGTATAAGCACTCCGCTATTTCCAATCGCTGGATATTTTGACAGCAGTGACGAACCGCGGAGCTGACTTAGCGCCGCGCGATCCATTTTTTTTTAGCTGTGTCCGGAGTCACAACTTAGACGAACTTGGTCGTAGTCTGCTCACACTACAAGGAATAAAATTAGCCAAATATAACAATTCATCACACACGGAGTGTAATAAAATAGGTGACCGATGTAAACCGGGAGGTAACGTATTTCCTTACCCACAACAACGTCAAACCACAGTGCCTGGTGTGTTTTCAAGTAATATCTGCCACGGAAGAATATCATTTTAAGACATTACAAAACCAAACACGGGAAAAGATACCGAACATACCACGATATTTCTCGGCAAGCAATTTAATATCTGAAGTCTTTATATATCCCCCTAAAAAACTGATTAGAACGGTGAAATATCATTCTTAAATTCACTTAAAGTGGGTAAATTCGCGATGTTTTGATCACTTTTGGGTTTTCTCCGACTGCAGCCCGCAAGACATTTTCAAAAGTTTTTGCGGCCCACCAACCTTGGACCACCCTGACATATACTGTTTAATAATATTTGATATATATACGGACTCTAATTTGGCTTTAGTGAGTGAAGTGGTCTAGCTCACCTCTTCATGCATCCAACTTGACATCAGGAAACTCAACTATAATCAGCTTGGCGATATATTTTTAGAAATATTCTTCTTTACGTTTCACTCCTGTTAACTAACTCGGTATCCAGATTGGCAATCTTTACAAAATTATTAATATGGCGTGGCAAAAGTGTTATTGAATACTGTCCCCACACTTGTCCCACTAGTCTCAGACTTCTCCTGCTTGTCTCAAATTTGTACCGCTTGTATCACACCTGTCTCACAATTGTCCTGCTTGTCCCACTCTCGTCCTGATGGAATAAAAAACTTGTCTTGCTTGTCTCATGCTTGATCTGCTTTCCCCACATTGCCTTGTTTTTACCACGCTTGTCCCATTATTTCAAAACGGTCCTGCTTGTAACACACTCACGGCTTATCCATTCTTCATTTCACTTAAGATATTTCAACGACAAACATGGATATTTGGAAGTAATTCAGTTAACCCGATTCTAAAATTAATTGTGACTTTTTTGATTTGTATTTAGTATGCGGTCGGAAATATTATAAATTCGGAAAGTTTGACACTACTTTTAAACAAAGTTCCCATTTCTTGAAGTTTTTCTGAAAATACTGTCAATTGAATTAATTTTTCTTCGTGTATGACCATACTGGGATGACAGTCAACGTCCAAAATAAAAACCTTTAACCGTTCTAGAAAAATTTAGCTATATATTTTTACCAGATCATGGAATTTAAAAAGTAATTCTGCCACCAAGTTTCAAATACCTTTGTTGGAGCCCATGATGCAAGTCCTTCTTGGCAGCCCAATTTTTGAGTTCTGATAGCAATACTCATATTGTTCAAGTTTCATTTGATAATAGCATATCATTTGCAGCTAATCATCTATGCAATAGGGTGCTTTTCATGTTGGTGGACATTAATCAGAATTCCCAGTAAAAAGGACGCGCTGGAATTGCTCATTCCGAAGTAACCCGTTTTGATTTTTTTTTTTTATCTGACTGAGAAAAAAAAACGTTGAGATTCGACCGAGGCTTTCAAGGAATAAAACGAGAATATTGGTTGGAGACCCAAGACTTATCGATCGGAGGTTAGGGGATCCCCTAAAACAGCGCTCTTACTCCATAGTTACACCGTGTGTCCCATCACTAATTAATCAATAACTCGCTAATTAGACGACATAATTCATCGAAAATCAATAGGCTTCTGATCCGAGCTATGATGAATGCACATGCAAAATTTGGAGCAGATTCAACCTCGCTTTCGTGAGATATCGCGTGCATCTAACAGACAGACAAACAAACAGACAAATACCTATCAACATACTTACCGATCTTAAGATCGATAAGTAATTACTGCTTAACCCTCATTTCAAATAGTAACCCCAGTTTTGAATGAAAATTGAACAAAGTGAATTCAGCAGGTAATAATTGTAAGTGATGATTTATTTACCGATATATTTAGTGATTCAGCACACAACTATAAAGCTAATAGAGCAGATAATGGGCAAGAAGAATTACGAATTAAGTGGATATTGGCATATAAAGGATAATTCACGATCACACGAAATATCATTCCAATTGCGATTTTTAAACGCAATTTCCAATGCTACACAATTTTCACTTGTTGTTGAGTGAGTAGACCTGTACAAATCCCAAGAATTGAAGGTTGCCAACGGTGTTCCATCACTAGAAAAAATAAATAAATGCAGTCATAAAACAGTCAAACAGATAACTTACTGGTATAAGGTGGTCTATGTCTCACTCATTATATGGGCAGATGGTCAACGGTGTGGGATGGTAATTACGAGCCATTATAAATATCATTCAATAAATCATATCCACACATATCTCTGAATACTTGATCTTGATTACGTGCGTGAGTGTGTAGATCTTTGCTCATAAAACTAAAGTTTACTCTGTTTTTTATTGAATTACTTATTTTGCAATTAATATTACCTATAAATAAAATATCCATCTCTTGTGCGATCATCCAAACCAATCCAGAGCATTGCCCAATCATCCACACTTCTGCGAATGAGATCCTGAGAAATTCAAAAAATATGATTTTAAAATTTTCCAAAATGGTAATAATTTTTTATAAAGGCCAGGATATGATATATAATGTTCATATTTATTTGCCCCGTAAAAGATAGGATATTATAAGCAAGCTTAATCATGTTGCGAACCAATCATAAGTAGATAAGTATGTTGATAGGTATTTGTCTGTCTGTCTGTTAGATGCCTGCGATATCTCACGAAGGCGTAGTTGAATCTGCTCCAAATTTTGCATGTGCATTCATCATAGCTAGGACCAGAAGCCTATTGATTTTGGATGAATTGTGTCGAGTTATTAATTAATTAGTGATGGGACACAAGGTGTCACTATGGAGTAAGAGCGCTGTTTTGGGGGATTCCCTAACTTTCGATCGACAAGTCTTCGGTCTCTGACCGATATTCTCGTATTATTGGGTTATGGGTTATTTTATAGAGGGAAAGTTCAATTTAAGTTTAACAATTTAAATCTTGATTTGTTTTTAGGATTTAGATAACACATTAATAACTTTAAAATAGTACAGCGAATGACGTCTATTAACCATCTTCATGTTCATCTGAAATATTCTAACCTTGATGAAGCCTTGTTGAGATTGAGACTTGATTGCAGCCAGCAATCCTCCATTCGATTTGCATATATTTGAAGCATCATCATATGATTTTGTAACATTCATTATTTCATAGCAGAAATCTCCAAATGCTAATCCAGCAGAGCAAGCTTTTTCAAACAAAACATCAGATAAAGTATATAATTTCGAAATTCAAATTTTGACTGCTTAAAAGTAATTAATATTGTGCAACAACACACAAGGTAAGATGGACATACACTCTAGGGTGATCCAAAAAATCAGAACCCAGGACAATTGGAACATATTTTAGGGAGTACACAACTTTGCGGTAATTTATTAACAATTTCAAGTGTTAAATAATTTTTCTTCTTTTTTTTTCAGAAATACAGATGAAATTTATGGTTTCTGTTTAGTTTGGGTCACCCTGTATCATTACCCTACTTTATAAAGCTGACAATGCTCTTACACGTTGGAACCTGATGTCGATAACATCTTAGGAAAAAACTATTTGAAAATAACATATTGAACCCAATATCCAAATATTACTTCCTCAACATTTGGTTTTGCAAAGATGTAAACTATAAATACCTGGACTAACACATTTTCCATTTGCAACAGACACATCATCTATAGCGATATCGCCATGGAAATCATGTCCCCGTATTGCCTCAAATACAATTTGGAATGATATTGGAGAGTTGATTTGCAGTCGACCCGCATTCCAATCGTTTCCTTGCAATAAATATCAATATATTACATGGTTTACACAAGAAAACATCACTTTTATATAGTGGATGCAAGACGTGTAAAGTAGTAGTGAAAATGATCAATTCTAATGAAACTGTGATAATTATGGTCTATTGGCTTATAGTTTATGGAGAAATAACAGAATTCAGAATTGTGAGATAGACTTGAAAGCCTATTCATAACTACAGTATATAACATATTACAAACACCTTGTTGTCCAGTTTTGAACCACAGTAGTTTTATATGATTGTCTTTAGTTTTTATGTAAACATTCAATGTGTTGATGTCCGCTCCCTGTTAAGATAAAAATTAACAAAATCCATTTTCATCAGATTTTATAAATCCAGAACATTAGAAAGAAGTAAAAAACAATGGGAATTTCGACAAAATAACAAGTTAATGTTGAAGTTATGCCCAGACAGACATTGTAGAAATAATTCAGAATATTTTCTTACAAAATTTCTGAAATATTTTGAAAATTGACTTCATTTAACTTCTAAACACCGAACAAAAATATATCAATCAAACAATGTTTATTATTTTTCTTTATCAAATTAAATGTTTCACATATAGGGTGGACATGAGGTCTTGGAATTTTTTTAATTGAAAGAATTTTAAAGATTCGAATTGGAAGAATTTTGAACAATGGTCCTTGTTTTTATCAGAATGTCTGAAGTACTTGTGTATATTTTGATCCTATATACTTACATGCATGTGGTAAAAAAATTGTAAACATTGAGCATTACTTGCTGATAATTCTGGACTAATAAGCCGAGTTCTCTCATTCAAGATCCTACAACACAAATATTCAATTTAGTCAAATTTGCACTCCATTTTAGAAAAACAAAATATACCTAAAACAGCAAGAGACTCAAATGTACAATGTGTAGGGGCTAATACTCTTTCTTGAATGTTGAGAGAGAAATTGGAATTAAATTCAGTTACATAAAAAAGTGGCAATGTATTTGGGATAATAATGAGGTGACTCTCATATCACCTTATTCTAGCTTTCTTCAACAATAGGACAACGAATAGGACAATTACCTAATTTTTAATGTTCTTGTTCAATATCAGAAATGTAATGTACCATTATGAATTTAAAATAGGTATTGTACACATGGATTTTCACCATAAACAACAACAAAAAACATACAAGACAGATTTCTATATTATGAATTCTCTGTTACCTTGGATTTGAAGCTTCCAAAAACATATAATAACCACTTAATGTGCCAGTGGTATGGTCAGTTACAGGTCCAGTATCAGATGATGATGTAGCACCGGTGTTTCTTTCCCAATCAAAGTCATCTGTTCTATCCTGTAAGATATTATTTATATTAACTAGCTTGAAGCTAATTTAAAAATACTATGAAATAAAAAATACCTAAAAATGTATTCAGGATTAGACTAGCAGGTAGACTGCCAATCTAACGTTATCAAATTAGGATGTCAATGCAATAATATTGGCTTAGGAACTTGGAAATTATTAGGAAACAAGGTATTTATACCACTACGATATACCTCTCTGCAAAGGAGATGTGGTAAAGTACACGGTAGAATACAGTACTCAGAACTAGAGTAGTATAGATTACTGTTGTTAGAGTAGAAAAACAGATGTCCTATTTTGTGGAAAAATATTGCACAAGGAATACTATTCATATTTGCACCTGTATAAATCCACATATGTTAGGTTTTTCAAAATCACACGAAAATGCAGGCTTGGGACAGGATCCTTGTTTTAATGACAAGTCATCTAATGCTAGATCTCCATGATAATCTGAACCTCTTATTGCTTCAAAGATCAGCTGTTAAATACAAATGCAAAATTTGCAATTACAACATTTTTATAGGAACAGTTATTTGCTGGATCTATCAGCGCAATGATGTTACCTGTGTGAAATAGCTGAAGCAATTAATCGATTTGTTTTAGGGTTGGGATCCCAAAAGCTCAGATATCCAAAACCCCAGGATTAATTTTGATGAATCTTCAAAAAGGGATAATGAATGTTTCATATGTATAAATATTTTTACACAAGTTTCACAACACAATATTGCTGTTTTCTCATAAAGATGTGTCAGTGTCATATGTACTCAGTTTTCATGTCCTCAAATGGTAACAGCGATGATGCGCTACTATTAGAACTACATATGCATACATTCAAATATTTTACTCAAATGTTTGCTATTTCGTATTTTATTGAAATTAATATTTGGCAAACGGAAGAAGTATAGGCCTACCGAGGAATCTAATTTTCGGGACTTCAAATTTAGCCGCAAAATCCAAAACGGCGGTGTGGCTCAACGGGCTAAGCGTTAGGAATACGCTCGCCACCGCACCTCTAATTACTCTGCGTGGGTTCGCAGGTTCGAATCCCATGAAGGAATGGTTATGTGCGAGAGGATTGCTGGACTCCTTCTCGTCTTTGGGTGGTTCACGTAACCGCTGGTCGGTTACGGCTTCCTCCACCACCAAGTCCATGCTTCCGAAAACAAACAATATAACTAATTCCATACCCGACTTGGAATGGTAACCAGACGAGAGGCCGTGGTTCGCCATATGGATAATGCGTCTTATCAGCTTTCCTCTCCCCGGGATAAATATGTAAATCCCATCCTATCCCATCCAAATTTAGCCGCAAAATCCAAAACTTTTGTTCTGAGTACCAGGTTAGCTGACTTTTTTGAAAACTATCACCTTCTTTACATACAATATAGTCGGGGGTTAGCTTAAAATTGTGTTGAGTCATCATCCTGTTATTCGCAAATAGCATACTGGTAATTAGTTTGTGTAATACTAGTAAATGGTTTAAGGAACCAAACTATACAGACTCTATAGCTTTCATCAGCGTGAAATTCCAACTGTGATTTCAACCATAAATTTTCTTGGCTACCAGATTTTGACCATAATAAATGCTCTCGACCACGTTCAGTTGATAATATAACAGAAAGATCTCCAGCTCCAACTCCAAACATGTGATAATGAAATTCTAAACAAGCATCTGTAAAGAAATATCAGTCATGTTAGGATAGGATTCACATATTTATCCCGGGGGAGAGGAAAGCCGATAAGACGGCTTATCCATATGGCGAACCACGGCCTCTCGTCCGGTTACCATTCCAAGTCGGGTATGGGATTAGTTTTACTGTATTGTTTGTTTTCGGAAGCATGGACTTGGTGGTGGAGGAAGCCGTAACCGACCAGCGGTTACGTGAACCACCCAACGACGGCGAGGAGTCCAGCAATCCTCTCGCACATAACCATCCCTGCATGGGATTCGAACCTGCGAACCAACGCAGAGTAATTAGAGGTGCGGTGGCGAGCGTATTCCTAACGCTTAGCCCGTTGAGCCACACCGCCGCGCCTGTTATTGAATGTAGCAGAAATAGCAGCCATGTAGATTTATGATACGCTGATAATATTGCCTTGCCAGAAAAAGATTCTCAAATTTTACGCACAACTATATGCTAAGCGACATAAGTGAGAAATTTTTGGTAAAAAAAGGAAATGTCAGGTATGGGATTATTATGGGGTAATCAGAGATGTGGTGGCGAGCATATTCCTAATGCTTAGCAGGATGTGCCATACCACCAGTAAAAATCTGCTCATCCTGGAGGATTTATCAATGTGTAACAGATTTAAATTTTCCCTACATTTTATGTTATTCCATGACGTCTATCATGGGTTGATGCTCAGCTTTAACGAGATATTATTAATGAAATCAGTCAATTTCAGGTAAATTTTTAAGCCCAATCATTTGACCATCTACTATGTAATGCAATTTTAACAGGTTTGTTGATGAATGTATTACAATACACCTTAAAATCCATTTTGTTTGAAGAAATAGAACAGTACAAAATTGCAATAATTACCAGATATAGTAGGAAATAATGGTGTTGCTAGCCTGGCAACATCACCTGTCTGGCGTGGTCGAGAGGCTTCAATGTAAATGTAAACACCTGCATGCAAAACAGAAACCAATATTTTAAAGAACACCAATGTTCAATGATAAGTGTTTAAATCATGAATTTAACAGTAGAACATTTGAAACCAAATAGAGGTAATAGCTTTATAAGAAATACAATGTTTCAATAGGTTAGTGTCATCATACAACAATATATACCAGATTTGTCTCCACTAGTATGATCAGCAGAAGGTCCAGTATCTTCAGAAGGTGTACTTCCATTATATAAATGCCAATCAAAATCATCACTTGAGCTTTGTAGCATGTTGCATGGAGTTTCAAAGTCACAATTCCACACTGCATACATGAGAAATTTGCAATTTAGAATTTTTTACCCTTGGAGAATATAAATTACTTCACAGACTTATTATAAAATCATCCTCATCTCAAATATATATATAAAAAAAATAGATGCAATTGGTACATATGATCACGAACATATCAAGTGGTTAGCACACTGTGATAAGCAATATAACAAGGCTTGCTATTAAACTTTTGTTTGCCCTGCTAAACTCCTTACCTAACTACTAGCCAGATGAAAATTCTCCATCAACCAATCTATGAAAACTGAAGATGAATTTTTAGGTTATATTTATACCCAATCTGGAATGGTGACCAAATAGAAAATCATTGTTTGCATATTGAAAAGCCTTATAAATTATTCCCCAAATAGAACCAATATAATTTATTATTATTTCAGATCAACATAATACTCAAATATAATTTTAGTACCTCAAGAACTCAGGCACAGTAAAGTTAACTTACCTGAAGCGGAGGATATAGAAGTTGTTAAAATATTTGTTGTTGAGATTTCTTCATCTGGCAAATTTGTTGAAGGAAGTGAAGTTGTTGTAAGCGTGATATTATTTGTCGGACTAGATAAGGGAGCTGAAAAAAATAACCATTTGTGATTGCTTGTCTAACATCAATTTAGTTTGATACTTAATAGGATTTGGAATCTCATAATCATCATATTTATTCCCCCTGTTTGATGAAAATCTTCTTGTTAATTTTTTTGCATGTTTGAACGACCCATTCACTGTTCTTCTTAGGCTCTCTTTAATTATTCACATAATGCCTCAACATGTATGCTATTTTCATAAAATCCAGGAAAAACGAAATAGCTTTATTGTATGCAAACATGTATATTTATATTTTCATTCCAATTTCTTCTAAATACTAACACTGGGTTAGTTCATTTCTTACGTGTTTTCGCAAATCCTGTCAATGGTTCACTGAGAGTAGAAAGTTTGTTCATTGCAAAAATAGTGATGAGATATCGTCTGTCGGGTATCAATGTCCCAACAGTGACTCGTGTTTTGGTAACCTCCATCTGTTCAAATAAAATTGATAATAACGAAAAAAAATATTTTCATATACCTAAACAAAGACAAATAATGAAAAAAATTAAACTTCCTTTGGAACAGACGACTGTATTAAATGGCAGACATGGAATGAGAATAAGAAGTGCCTAAAATGAGATGGACTGTACATATACTAACATAAACATATACATTGCCAGGACAGATGTGTGGCATTACCTGCACAGATATTACATTATTAATTTCTTGAACTTTTATTCTATATCTTGATACACCTGGTGTAATTGAAGCAGTCCATGAGAAAATAAGAGATGTCGGATGTGAAGATACTATATGGAGATTCGTTGGACTTTTTACTTTGTTCAATGATGGTGAATCAGAATCTTCAACATCAACTAATAAAAAACATTTGGATAAGAAGTTTCCTGATATAAAGTATTTAATAATTTTTTTTCATGGGAATTGTTGATGCTGACTAACAGATCACCATTATGCAATTACCAATCTTCTGTGAATTATTATCAATGAATTCATTTGTTTGATTTGTTTGAACTAAAAAAGATTTAGCAAGGTCTTCATTCAGATCTTAAGATAAATGATGTGCACTAACACTCACATAATATTGTAACATTTATTAGACGGGAACAGATTTATAGGACAAACACTTTTGTTTCCATTATTTACCAGAGTGTTTGTAACCTTCAGTACGGTATATGCTTTTGTAACAATGTAAAACTTGTTAAATACCTTGCGTTGTGAAATTTATATTGGCATTTGCTGATCCTCTATTATTATTCATTTCAAGATTTTTGAATACAACTGACCAGTCCCGAACCTGAAAAATTTGTGGAACGCAATAATAAGATGACACTCTTTGAAAAAGTTTCTGTTATTCTCTAATTCTGAAACATTTTAATTTAAAGAGAGTATTTTTAAGAAAGAATATTTATTGGTGAAAGTTTTTCATTTCTTGCAATCTTTATATGTACCTCTGTTTGATGCATACTTTTCAGATCTAGTTATTCAGTTAACATCTTTTTTGACCATACGCTCAACTATGAAATTTTAAATATAAATATTGCTGTTAGCATTCTTTGGCACAGATACAACTGCAAAAAAATTACATATCAACTTTAAACAAACCCTTTCACTGAGATCATATATGTCGAAAGTGTGATTTTGTAGAATTATTTCCATCTCTTTTGATTTTGTTGTGTATGTATTATCAAAATATTCGAGAGATTGGAGACAAGTATCAATTTGGTTTCCATTCCATTTACTTTCCTCAGAAACTGCTTTTATTATTGCTTCTGTATTCTGTGTACCAAAATAAATATTGGAATATAAAGTGTATATTTCAAACTAAAAATACAATATCAAAATATAGAGTAGTCAAATAGCATCATCAAATATGATACTGCTTTTTACAAATTGAATTTTCATTGTTCCATGTTCATCATTATGTCTGGTTTCCGACTCCAAAAAACATCTAAATGTCCTACAACTGTAATTAGAGTATTAAAAATACATCTCACCTCATTTGCTTTGAATAAAGTAGCTAAATCTTTTGTGTGTTGTCTGAGACTTTTCTCTGCTTTTATTATATGACCGTCTCTTCTTTCACCTCCTCTCATCAAAAGTTCAACTTCTATGTTGAGTTGTTTTAAAGTATCATTGACTATTCTTGAAAAATCCTCATTAACTCCCAATAACACTTTTGTGTTATTTGTTTGGGCTTCTATATCATGATGGATGTTAGAGGCAACAATTTCGAAAAACTCACTTTTCTGTAAGATAAAATGTGAACGACTAGATTTGCAGTTTTGTATTCTCATATCAGAAAATATACTTGCAGCTGATGACCATGGCTATGTGCCTAATGATTGCTGGATACATATTCTTTCAAGGATATTTCATGTATCTATTTTTCTCGATCAAACACAATCCGAATAAATTGATATGGCTAAATATCTCATATCTAACCTGTAATGATTAACAGGGTTTGTAGTTTACTTATGCAATATATATACTTACAATTTTTTCCTTTTCTATTCCCCAATATATGTTACACATCATGATTCACCCATTTCATAAATATATTGTCATCTACCACTACAGATGACAAATCTTTTGATTGGATATTACTTTGTGGCCCATGACAGACATCTAATCATCCATTTATTATTGAGCCAATATATGAAGGGCCTATATTTTTGTTTGTTGGTATGTGCTATATTATTCAGGTTTTACCCTTTTTACATCATCCAGTTCTTTCAACATAAGCTGGTCCGATAACCGTTCTTGATATTGTGAAGATTTCATTTTTACCAAACTTCGATTCATTTGTCGCATTGAACCCAGCATATTGAGTACATCATCCTCCAAAAGAGGTAACACCTGCTCGACAAGACTCAAACTGGAGAGAAAGGGATATAGGATAGGATAGGATTTACATATTTATCCCATATGAAAAGGCTCTCCCATAAAGTTAATTTTATATGAATAGCTTTTTAGCCAGATCTAACTGGAAGGAATAAATAAATACTCTATATAAATCTGCTTCATAGCTGGGTTCGCAGATTTGAATCTCAGGGGTAATAATTATGTGCAATGGATTCCTGGGCCCCTCGCCGATGCAGGGTGGTTCATGTAACCGATGGTCAATCATGGCTTTCTGAAAACAAATAACTGGCTAACTAATCCCATAATCGACATGGACTGGTAACCGGACAAGAGGCAGTGGTGTGCCATATGATTAAGCCATCTTATCGGCTTCCCCTTCCTCAGGGGAAAAAGTAAATCCTGTCTTATCCCAAAATATATGCAAGTAGGTATATGGCTTCATCCTGTCATCAATCACATCAATCGAAACGCATGAATCCATTGCATGAAAAATGCTAATCATGATAAAATCACATTTAAATAGTTAAACAGTTTAAAATTTATTTTATATATATTAGTATACCGCTGCTTTTCCATCAATACACTTGAATTCAACTTTGTAATATTTTCTGAAACACTGTTTCCAAGTTGATAGATATCATTTTTAGCTTGTTGAATACTTTCATTGCAGGTTATGAAAGCATTCATTATATATTCCTAAAATGTAAATGAAGGAGTGTATTTATTATATAGAATAGAGTTGAAGTGGAGAAAATATAGGCGGATGATGCGGAACAAGATAAAGACAAAAAACAAAGAAAATAATTGCCATTATTATTGCATTTCACATCACAAAAAATAAATTACTCATCAACAGTAAATTATTATTTGTATAAAATTTGACAACAATTACTCACATGAGTGTGATTCTGTGAAGCAAACAAATCTGAAGTTTGGTAGCTCCCGAGAAGTTTATTCTGTGATTCTGAAAATACAAAATTACAGAACATCATTTATATATTTCAGCTATAAAAATTGATTGAAATGAACATACCTTTGAAATAATAATAAAAAATTAGACATTTAGAATTATTTTGAATAAAAAAAAATTTTTTTTGGCAATATATCAATGATATTACAGAATTTTCATAACTTTCAAACATTAGAGATTTTTCAACTGTAAATATTAGTAAACATTTCAAGTCTATTTCTTTATTAATTATTTTTCGAGAAACTGTAACTTTAGTGTTGAATCAAAAAAATATAACTGATACTGCTGATGAAGTTCTTTGTCAAAATGTTCCAAAAGTAAAAATTACCCTTTATCACTCTTATTTCATTGATTATGTTGGTTGAAAAGTTCTTCTGACTTTCTTTTATATTATTTATCATCTTCGTTGATGTTGGAAGAATATATAACAAAGCAGCTTCTAATCCACCCACAAATTTAGTAAGATTAGACAACAGACTTAATTCAGGTGAATTACGTAGTATTGGTTCATTCATCTGAATAAAAGATAGGTTGGACGTAAAATTGCGTAGTCAACAACAAGTCAACAACTTTTTAGTTGTATGACTTGATCCTAATGCAGTTTATTGACTTCACGATGATATGCCCACATTCCAACTAAGTATTATCACGTTGTGCAAAACACTGGATATATTGCTTGAGAAATACTGAAACATTGCAAACTCGCATACTATGATAAATTAGTTACAATTTCTAGAGACAGATTGAGACAACTGACATTAGTTTATCAAAATGCCTGACAATACTGAAATTAATAAACGCTTGAATTAATATATTTATTTAGTCATTTAACATCAAAATTTATTATGCTGATGTTTTCAAAATGAACTCTTTGCTAGCTTTATTTGACTTTAATTAATTTCCATCTTTTATTCAGGAAATAGTTGTTAATTAAAATAGAATAATCATGGAATTCATTTTGCATTTTTCTGCATAAAAAGAACAGCCATATTCTTATTAACATGGAATGTTTAAACATAAGAAACACAGAATACATAATGAGATAGAGTTTCCAAGTAATTATATTTTCATGAAAAATCTTCTCGTCAAAAGTTAAAATACGATGTCTCTGATTTAAAAAAAATACAAACCGGCGAAGATTGAGCATTTCCACCAAACACACTCTCTTGTAATATATCATCAGCTGGATAGAGCGATGGATAAAAATCATCATATTCTATAGATGTTTCTTTTTCTAACATTGCTAAATGCTTGGCATTAAAACTATTCCAAGCAGTAAAGTTGATATGTACAAGATCTTCCTGAAGTGATTCCAGCATTGAAAGTATTAAACCAAAATTAGAATCTTCACTGACTCCCTCATCTCCTAAAAGAATGGTATAGAAATTTTACAATGATAACATTTTATTTGAAGAATCCTATATCAATTGCTCATTAACCTGAAGTAGAAATAAAAGATCCAAAAAGAAAAATGAAACAGTCTGATAAAATTTTGGGAAATTGAAGATTTCTGTTATTATTCTGCCCTTGGGATTGATCTGTTACGTATGTGTTATTAAGTGGAGTATAGAAGACAAATAGAAAAAAGTGACAAAAGTTGGGTTTCAAATACCAAAATTCCGATATAAAGTTTTTCATGGTTTTATTATTAATCAGCAAAAAAAATAAAAAAAATGTAAGCATCTTTCTGATGATCACCTTGTTAATTGGCTATGACCTTCTTATGATTTCAATAGCTGTTTTTTCCTGATTGTTTCGCTAGCTTAATACGAATAATAATATGAATGTAACTTTTTGTATTTTTTATCAATGGCTATTTATGGATGACTCACTTTTCAAGCTGTTCATTACATTTTAAATTGATTAATATAAGTGCATATAAAAAATTAAAAATATTGAATTTTTCAATAGACTTATGATAAGTAATATTGTGTACTTTACCTAAATCATGTCTATGCAAATTCATCAGCATTGATATTTTGTGTTTCATGATGTTTTCAGAAACTTCAGCATCCATACTTTTAATTTTCAAATCTTGTATTATTTCCTCATGTCTAAAAATATTACATATGCAGAATTTTACATTTTAAATTATGGTATCTATATATAGGTATGTGGATAAAACAATGCTTAAATATGCCTATTGATTAAAAACGATTCATTCTGTGCCTTCATGGGTTTCCCCATCTTAGCATGATTGCGTTTTTTCATCAGTTTTTCACATCCACTGGATGTCATTAATTAGGTATAATATCTCTACACCATCCATAAAAATTTATGGAAAAAAGTTCATGTCATTCTCTGAGTATTGTTACATAATTGGTTGTACTACGACACTAAATTTAGCATGCATTCAGTTGCATTCAAGTAAAATGATATTAAGTTGTTGAAAGTTTTGTAAAATTCAAAATTAACCTATTATAGTTTGCATTCACTTCCAATGACTGATTTTCATATTGATTTGACTTAGCAACAATTACATCTAATGTTCTGAGCATATAATTATGTAATTCATCAAATATTTTAAGTTTTTCTGAATATTGAAGATTTTGCGCCATTTGAGAGGAGAATTTTCGTAGCAGAGAACGAATTTCTTCATCTCGTAGTTGTAAGTCTTGTGCCTGAAAATAAAGAATAAATATATCACAGGAAACTGGAACTAAGTGTTCAATGTAGCAATTGTATCCATGAAAATGGAGACCAAGCTGTTGAAAGTTTATTATTAAGCGACACTAGACTCGAAATCCCGCTAGTGAACATTTTCTGGCACCTGATAAGACTGGTAAGTTTATCTTAGTTTCAAGATAAAATTGTATTTGTGATCTTAACCAAAACAAGAAATTGGAGGCAACACATGGCATATTCAAATAACAGAAAAAACAGGGAAGCTGCAAAGGCTTAAGGTATGCATAACAAACTGTAACATGATAATAGAATGAATATGAATGGACCTAAATTAATGCAGCATCGTACTATATTCGGTCAGTTTTTAAAATCAAATGAGAATTACCTGCAATTATAACATTCACTTGAGTACTCACTAATTCCTTAAAAAACATACAGCAAAATACTTACATGTCTTCTTTCCATGTCTGTTTGCTGCTCTTGTAAGGCAGAGGAAGTATAGACTTTTATATCAGTCAAATTTGATTGAATCATAAATTTCAATTGTTCACGCAATTGTTCTCCAGACCGTTGTATTTTTAATTTCAAATCTAATATTAGTTGTCTGTGCTTGTTTAGATTTTCATCTGCCCTTATTTCAATGTAACTCAAATTTGCATGTATTGTTGATAATTCATTCAACATATTTGCAATGACTACATCTAAGTCCTAAATCAAAAAATGATGATTTATCAAATATTATTTTTATTCATTTAATATACTCGAGCATTCCGTTGGAGGGATTTCTTTCATGCTTCTAATTTTTTTTATTCCTAATAATGCAAAGCCATGAATAAACAAGCATGAGTATATATATTGAAGCAAAACTATTTAAGCATTACATTTTTTAACTTGATGAAACATTTTAGGGATGAATAGAATTCAAAATCCAGTGGAATCCACAATCTCTTGTCAGTACAACACATGATTAATTTTATTAAATTCTGTACACGATTAGTTTTTAAATAAATACATCCAAACTTTTTTATTTCATTCTGAGATACAATAGTTCACGAACCAAATGTTGTTTTATCTATTGATTACAAAGCTATAAATACTTCCAAAAATTAATAAATGATAAAACAATTTCATCTTCAGCTATTTGAAAATTGTAACTGGATAACATAATTGCACTAGGATAACAATAAAACTTAGGGATGAGTCGAACATTTTCAAAATTGTTGATAATTGATTCTTTCTTTTTGTTATGTGAATATTCTACTGACTTAACACTTGATTCAGAAAAATAGCTCTTTTAAATCATGCATTGCAAAGACTAGGGACGTGCAACTGTTTTTATTGCAATGTACCAAAATGTAAACTTATGGTGCCGCTGAGAGATATACCATCGAGCAAATATTTTTTAGGAAGTTGAAGTTGAGCTTGCAAGTACCCAAAGAAAGAGCAATCAAAAATAAGGCTCTGGCATAGACAAAGGGTGATATAACTGAAAAGATGGTTTTTCATTAGCTACCTACCTTGTCATGCAAATGGATATAATCAGTCTTCGATTTCAAACTATCAATCTCCATACTGTTGTTGAATGAAATTTTAGCAAGCATATTGTAATCATTGTTTAAGAGTTTAAAATTATTTTGAATCAGGCTACTAGTTCGATTTTGCATGCTTGCCACCAACCCAATTAGATTTGTCATTTGACCTTGCAGCGTATCATTTATACTGAATATTTCTCTCAATTCTCTTGAAGTATTATAAATAGCCTCATCTAAATTGAATTTTAATTCCTGTAACGAGGAAGAATACAAAGAAATAAATACAGAGAGAAATTATACGTGAAAGGTGGAGTGAATAATTTTATATTTATCCTGAGGAAGATGATTTTACAGGTTCAGAAAATAACGAAATTTGTGTCTTACAGATTTCTTTGCCACAATATTAAGCTTTTCATAATCAGAAATTTATAAATTGGGTTAATGATGCATTGAATAGATGATAAAAAAAAAATTTTTTGACAGAAATAAAATACTAATTATATATTGCAATTCATCATTGAAATAATGTGTATAGATAGAATTATGTCATACTGCAATGCTGTTTATGACCAATAAGTATTGCAGGTACCTCATACAAGAGCTGTGTTCCAATCAGTGAATCATGTACTTGAGTGAAATTTTTTGAGAAGTTGAAAAAATTTACTTCAAGTGCATTCAACCTTCCATAAACTTCATTGAGTGCATCCAATCTACAAAATGGTTTGTATGAATTTGAACAGTTATTTTTCGAAGTAAATATTTGATGAACTACCGTAGTTATAATATACAATGTGATGTGATGAATATACTTTAATAAAGCAAAGGTATTGAAGCTAGATTTGTTTGTTTGGTTTGGGTGGCTAACCAGGTCAAAAAGAATGAATATGATTAGTAGAGAACGTTGAACACTGCATCCCTTATAATAGGATAAGATTTACTGATTCATCCCAGGGGAGAAGCTGAGAAGACTGCTTAACCATATTGCAAACCACAGCCTCTTGATTGGTCAACATTCCATGTCGGGTATGGGATTAGTTAGTTATTTGTTTTTGGAAGCATGGAGTTGATGATGGAGAGAGCCGTAACCGACCAGCGGTTACGTAAACCACCCTACGATGCGAGGAGTCCAGCAATCCTCTCGCACATAACATTCCCCGCATGGGATTCAAACCTGCGAACCCACGCAGAGTAACCAGAGGTGCGATGGCGAGCGCATTCCTAACGCTTAGCATGAGCCACACCGCCGCGTCAAATATCAAATCTGATATGTCATATTCGATAATATGCAGTGTGTCAGCTGAGAAGGTTTGAGCAGCTCAAGAAGTTTGTCAATTTTCTTTATATTTGAGAGTATATTCTAGTCTGCATGTATGAAGTGGCATGTAATGCACTATTTGCAGTACACAAGTATGTTTTACTTCTGCTAATGGCTTTATATGCCAGGTCTTAAAATAAGATATGATTTACATATTTTTCCTGGGTAAGAGGAAAGGCGATTAGATGGCTTAATCATATGGCGAACCACGGCCTCTTGTCCGGTTACCAGACCATGTCGGGTATGGGATTAGTCAGCCAGTTATTTGTTTCAGATACATGGACATGATGGTGAAGGAAGCCGTAACCGACCAGCTGTTACTTGAACACCCTACGGCTGCGAGGAGTCCAGCAATCCAACGCAGGGTAATCGGAGGTACAGTGGCGAGCATAATCCAAATGCTAAGCACAATGCGTCTCACCGCTGAACCAAAATAGTTTTTGCAAATTACTGAGCAAGACAAAACAACTGTACTTGGGCAGAAATATTACATTCACTATTACTGCATCTAGAAAATCTATGATTACGGTAAATATGATTAATATGAAAATTTTTAAGGTGGACTTTCAAATATTATAGTTTACCTACCTGTATGTAAAATACTGTACATAATAAAAATATTTTATACCTGGCAGTTAAATTGTTGTTAAGAGCCAATTTATATTGATTAAATGAAAGGTACAAATTATCAATCTTTCCACTCTTATTTCTTGCTACTTCATTTATTATTTCAATCTTTTGGTCATTGGAATTTACTTTGAGTGACACATCTTCTATTAGTTTAGTAGTGTTTTCAATATATTTCATTTGTCGATATTCATTGTCAACTGTATTTTGTTTAACCTGTGAAATGAATAGAAAATCTTGTTAATTTTGAACAATATTTTAAATTTAAGATAATAGGTAAATAAAATTAATTTTAAATACAACTCAAAATAAAAATGATATTGTCAATAATATTGTATGGTGTTTTATATCAATGTGTTAGATCTACTTTAGAAAAGATTGCTTACAAGTAGAAAAACTGTCTCTAAATTAAATATATACAAAATACCGGTACCTGAAAAAACTAATATTATTATGCACCTTTGAACTTTTATTTATATTCATCCATGAGAGAAAAGCCAATAAAACAACTTAATCATAATGCAAGCCACAGCCTCTTATCCGAATATCAATTCATGTTGAGTATGGGATGAATGAGTATGGATAGTGGAGGAAGTGGTAACAGACCATCCAGTGGCTATGTGAATCACTCTATGATTGTGTGGAGTCCAGCAATCCTCTCGCACTAAATTATCCCCCCAAAGGATTTAAAGTTGCCACAAAGTGTAATCAGAAGTATGATGGCAAGTGTATTCCTCGCGCTTAGCACAATAGGCCATACTGCCATCTTGTATCAGTAGTAATCAAAAAATTTAATATTTTTAATTTTTACTATGAAATCAATTCACGAATGAATATATTTGAAAATCAGTACTATAAAAATGAAACTGTATACACAATAACAGAAATACAAAAACGAATACCTCTCTGAGAAATTTTTCGCGAGAATCTGATTCATTAATGAACTTCTGCATTGAATCTTCAACGAGTTTTAATGACAGCCCATTTTCTGTAACATTCTTCGTTACAATTTTGATGTAATTTTTTAACTTTTGCTTAGCTTCACTCAAGAACACTGAAGAACATCGCTTATTTGAATCTGAATATCTGAATTCTTCCCCACTTTGTCTTGAAGAGAATGATGGTATTTTCTAGAAATATATAAAACAATACGACAACAAAAAATAAGCTGCACATTTTTGTATAATAACAGTGAATTTGGGTTACTTTAGTAAATAAACAAAGTACCTTGAGTGCTTTGGTTAAATTAATTTTAAATAATTGAAAAGTCTGAATATTGTTAGAATTTTCCAAAATTGCATGAGATAGCAATGTTTGATTATGCTGAATCTCGTCCATTTCTCTTATTGAAACTTTAAGATCTGTGATCCAGTTTTCTTGATCTGTTAGTCTGTGGAAAAATACAATAAAAAATTAATGTTCCATATGTTCAAAAGTAAATCAACAGAAAAAGTAAATAACCTTTCATTCAATTTTTCTTCTGATTTGTTTATTGCCACCAAAGCTTGCAAGAGGTTGTCTTCATAAGCATGTTTACGTAATATCTTCATACGGTCAAGACTATCAGCTACATTATCATAGCTCTCATTAATATAATCATATACATCCGATATTTTTAACGCATTATCGAAAATTGCTTTATTGTGATCATCTGAAATTTTCTGTGCTGCATTAATCTGAACAAATGAATGTTAATAAACAAAACTATCAAATCAAATTTCAAATATGCTGCTTAAATCTATATCTTCATACTCTAATGTCAGTAAAACAAAGCAAATTTATAATATTCAACAATTTCCACCCATTTCATTTGTTGTTGAACATGAAATACATATTAAGCAAGAGGATAGAAAAGCAGAAATAATTGAGAATTTTATAATAATATAACGTAAAGTCTAATGGGATATTTTTTGGAAAAGTTATTTCAGGATAAGGAAAGGTACCAGTAATCAATCACCTCATAAAAAATTTCCAAGGTTTGCTTAATAGATAAAGCTGTAAACAGTAGTAAACCATCTTATTATATTAATGAGTCCAGCATTTCTCTGACATATAAATAATTATTTTTAATCTGCAAACCCACACAGCACAATCAACGATTCAATTTGGCGATGGCAAATATGTTTCCAATGCTTAGATCAATGAGTCAATTGCCAACATAGAATTCAAACATCAATAAACAATAAAGTCAGCTAGCCTGAATCCATACTATATTATATGTTGTTATGCAAAGACATTACATTCAACAAAAGACAGCATAATTAGAAAACCCACCATGGTGAGCAAATCATTCCTTTCATTCTGAATTTTTTCTATGTTGCTGCGGATATTTGAAAGAATCAGATCTGTTTCCAAATTTTTCATCATTCCTGCTTCAATTTTACGATGAAGCAAGGATGTCATTTTTTGTAAAGATGTAATTGATTGATTGCAATACTGATATCTCTCAGACCATGAAATTATCAATCGTCGCAAATTGCGTTTTATAAATATCGTTTCGTTAGTTATGTTGAACAGTTGATTTTTCATAATCTAAAAATAGAAATATAAAATCAAATTTTTGAAAAAATTAGGATACAAGAAATAATGTTACTTCCCATCTCCACTGTGTGCTCATGCCAGACAAACAAATATAAACAGAACAAAATGAGAAAATTTATTTATTGCTTGAACACTTGAACTTCTGTTTGTGCATAGTTTTACTCGAAAGTTTCAATAATCAAGCTCCTTTGTGCAATAGTTATGTTCTTTCTAGAACAGGGATGACGAACCTTTTTCCATGAATGGGTCAAAAAATATATTTTTATCGCGGAACAGAATAGAGTGGGTCACAGATATATAATCAATGTTTATATCTATAGGAAACTTCCGAAACAAATCTTATCTTCTCTTGGTGTAGTTTTGGGCTTTATTTATGCAGCACTTCTATCAGGGATTTTTATGGCTCTCGATTTTATGAAATTAGAGTACGAAAACACGCATATGAGTTAACGAAAATGTTTAGGATGATGCAGCAAATTATTTTACGGTTCCAAAGGGTTTGGAGGAAATTCCATTCTGATAGTGTTATATTTTTTGATCAGCTTTCAACCACATTAGGGCATTTTGTACCGCCCCATTGTTATTTCAGATTTCTAGGTTTTTATTTCAAGTCTGAAAGATTTTGTTTTCTCAACCGCATTGTAGGTGAGAAACTAATAAACTGCAATGTAGCATCTGGTTCTCGTATAACCCCTAAAACAGTCTGGAAATGGACCTCCGAAAGAGACGAGATGTTGCGAGAAATAAACAGATCAATTGCATTGTTATGTCATAAACGATCTCAGAGCCAATAGCTGAATAACGTTACACAGCGATGCAGAGTGCAGACACGGCATCCAGATTAGGAGTTTTGAAAATTACCATACCGGCCCGAAAATTAACAATTTGAGTATGAGCGATCGCAGCCCTGGCTACCAGACTGACGGTACATTATAATAGTTCAGTTATTGTTAGATTAATTTAAGGCCGGTTTGATCAATTTTTATCACTGTTAAATTAGCATTCTATTTTATTTGTGCCTTGGCGGGTCACGAATAAAACGCGGTGGTCAGTGGTTCGCCATCCCTGTTCTAGAATATGTTCCAAATGATCTGGGTTCTTTTTATGTAAGTCACCATGTACATGTGATTAAGAAGGCTTTGAACAAAGATTTAGGTATAACATTAAGCCAGTAAATGAATTGCAAATACAAACGCAAAGCTTGCTGTCCTGTGAAGTGAACAATTTAAATATTCTTATATACTTGATATATAACATATATGTCACCTGATATTCAGTTTCCATTGTCTGATCTACTTGCTGCAAAGCTTTGATATTAACAGTATTATTTGATATTTTTCTCATCATCTTATGTAAAGATGCATTAGAAAGTTTTTCATATTCCATTACATCATGGTGTAAATTTTGTGAAACATGGTCATTATCCTCAATCCTTGAAAATAAAATTTTTTTATTACTGCCGAAGATCAACTTAACTTTTCTAAAAAAAATAAGTGTTTTGAATTATTTTTTACATTGTTTCAGACAGAATTCGAATATTCATAATTGTTACTGTTTCCATCATGCAAATTAGTTTACAAGGAATAGAAATAATAATATTTAAATCATGTAAAATTGAAGTGGATATCAGGGAGTATATAGCCCTCTTCAAACATCCAAATTTATTGATGAATGAATAAAAACACTGTTTATGTTTTAAACTGGTGTTATATAATGAATATTTATAACTAAATATCTTGAAATTCCTCCTAACAACTCATTAATTATACATAAAAATATATTATTATCGGCACATTGATCTTTTTCAATGCATTCAAGTGAAGTGTACGATTTCAATCCTTTCATCGAATTATACCAATGGACTGATTTTACCTGTTTCTGATAAGATTCAAACTGCTATTAAATTCTTTCCTGTCATTATCCATTGTTTGAATGACCTTTGAAATCTGAAAAACAAAAACATCAACAACAAAAGTTACAATTCCATTATTAGTCATTTGTTTGATTATTCGCTTGATTTATATATGTTTCCTGTAAACCGATGCAACATTTTTGTATGTACTTGGTCAGTTTGTCCTATCTCTAAAACTTTACGTCAATGAAACCAAAGTAACTAGAAAACGACTATCATAAACAGATATTTGCATATATGATAAAAAGTATCAGTAAAAATCTAAATAGACATGACTTGCTCGGCATATTGGCGCAGTTAGAAATATGCTAAGAGTTAGAAATATGCATGCCATTGCACCTCTGATTGCCAAGTGTGAGTTTGCAGATTCAAATTTGGTGGGAATAATTATGTGCAAGAGGGTTGCTGGACGCCTCGTTGCCACAGGGTGGTTCACGTTACCGCTTGTCGGTTACAGCCTTCAACACCCTCAAGTCCATGCATCCGAGAACATATAACTGGCTAACTAATCCCGAATCCAACAATCACTGGTAACCGGACGAGTAGCTGTGGTACACCATATGATTACCCTGTTTACCATAATCATATTTCTTCTCCCCCAGATTAAATAACTAAATCCTATCCTATTAATGGTGTGTGGAATTTTTTAACAAAAACAAACCAAAACCATAAAAGAGAGAATTTAAGAAATAATGTATCACATTATATCATATCACTTTTTGCCCTGATATACCACTGCAATATTTCTCTTCATATTACCTGCATGCCTATTTGTTCATTTTTGTCCATGAAATTCATTTGCTTATTTTCCAACAAACTAACTTTTTCACTTATATTTTGTCCATATTCATCATGCTTTTGAAGTATTCCAAAAATTAGACTTATATTGTTTAGAGCGTTGTTTTCAACATTGTTTATCAAGTTTGATTGACTTGAATTTACCAAAATCCAGGACTTATTCAAATCAATCGCTGTTTCTTCAATTGCAGATATCCTAGTTTTGAATACTGACATTGATGTTTCAGATATCTAAAATTATTTATGATCAATTAAACAACTCTTGGCAAATACATTATATTTCGACACTACCGGTGCCTGTAATTCTGTTCTAGAATTCAATCTGAAATCAGTTTTAAATTTTAAATAATATCATTTTTATCTTGTTCAAATTATTCTAACAAAAATAAAATCATATTACCATATTACCATATTGGTACTAAATTATCCTATGCAACTAGTGTGTGTGATAGCTCAGTGGTTAGAGCATTTGACTTGACTATAATGCAACCGCAGTGTAAATTCTTGAGTTTAACTCCAAAGCTCTACCCCCTCGCAGTGTGTAATAAATCGGGTAGGCAATGCCGAACCAAAAGATTTGTCCTTACCAACTATAGTAGGCCCTTATTTACCAGTGATGTTTTATGCAGAGCTTTGTACAGAGCTAAGGCTTATAAATATGTCATATAAAAACATATACAACCTACGATATACAAAATTATTTGATAAATCACGATTTAGAAATTGGATAGTTTTTTTTATTAAGAATGAGAACACATGCATTTTTGCAAACAAATACAATACAAAATGATTCCCAACAGACCTTCGCATTAGATGTTATTCGGTCAGTAAGTTCATTCACTGTAACAAGCAGTCCAGTTGTCATGTTCTTAAATTCCGTAGCATAGAGTGTAATATTTTCTTTGTACATCGATAATCTAATTATAATAAAATTCAATTATTAAACATTGGTAGAGAGCGGTTAGGAATTACATATTAATACCAAGGGAGAGAAAGGATGATAAAAAATAGTAAACCACGGCCACTCATTCGGTTACCATCCATACCGTGTATTGGATGACTTGACCCATTGTTTTTGTTTCAGATGCATGACCTTGATTATGGGGTGATTAACACTGCTAAATAAAAAAGCCCCTAATAGCAAATTCAGACTTTAGAATTCGGCTGTGTCCATTGTGACATAGCCATTATCCAGTCTTGGTCTAACTCCATTCTCCATGTGAAGTCTGGATCCATATGGCTATGGCTTTTTCTAATGTATTATTAGTTCTTTAAAAAAAAACTATGTGCTCACCTGAGTTTTTATTAATAATAAAGTAATAAAACTAGAGATAAAGATATTGAAATTAAAAAAAGACTTACGGTATCTTATATTAATATCTAAGAGTCAATAAATGCCAAGAAATAATGAAAGTCGGGTACTTGCACCAATCAGATCAGGCAAATTCGGTTAAAAAATATATATATTTCCAAACAGAAAGGTAGGTTATAAAGCTCTCAATTTCTGATTTATTAATATTTCCTACATGATATAAAAGATGAGAAAGTACCAAAAAATTACCATGAATTTAGTTTATGAATTGAGTACAGTAGTATATTATAAATGACAAATAATTATGAAAAATTAATGTTATACAGAAATGAACAAACATCTCACTTTTCAGCAGTGTCAGTTTTAATATCATTTATTGAATCCATGACTGTCATAAAAGATGCATTCCCAGAAAGTTCAGTGAATCTTTTCAAATTTTCAAAATCATTTAATAACATTTCGCTGGTGGTATTGATGTAGTTGTATATATTAAATAAATCTTGAAGATGTTTAGAAAGTTGTTCTTCATTTCTATTGGTTTGTTGAAACAATTGCGAAATCTAAAACAAACAGTATTTTTAAATTTACACACAATTAAGTACAATATAAAGCAGAGCTCTCAAACTTGGGGTCCCAAAAGGGTACTGGAAGAAGTACTTGAGACCCACCATCACCGAAATAGAGCCAAGATTCTGCCTTTTGTGCGAGAATATGGAAGCACATCACGAAAAAATTTGGCCGTGCCAACTGCCAAGTGGGTCGTGATGGAAAGAGTTTGAACAACACTGATATAGAGTAACAGATACTGATGTAGCATTTAATGAAAATACTTTTGTACTGTTTACTGTTTTTCACCTTCTTTTGGTGTTTTTTCTAAGCTATTTACTGTATACTAATATATTCAGAATATATTAAATGATTGAGTTTCTGTAATTTTGCATAACAAATACTTCTAAACTAAATATTGAAAATATTCGATAAACAGGAAAACAATGTTTATACTGGTTCCTAAATTGAATAATCTACACCCTTTAATGGTACAAGATTTCAAATCATAGTCACTGCAAAAGATATATTAGTAACATGGCCTGTGATAAAGCAGATTAAAAAGATTAGTTGATCTACCTGAATTCTGATGCTTTCATTGTTTTGCTGGTTGATTCTGAGATTATTTTCAGTTCGGTTTTCTATACTTGTAAGGTATATATTGTTTTCATAGATTTGCTTCCAAATTCCTTTAACATTATTCAAACCTTCTTCTTGTATGATACCAATTGATTCATTCAAAGATTTTTGCTTTTGAGCCAATGTTACACCCATAGCACTCATTCCATTTTTGAGAGAATTGAATTCCAATGATATATTAAACAAGATTGCCTTCATTTTCTGAAATTTTTGTAAAAAAAAAAAAGAAAAAGTAAACAATTTAAAAAAAATACCTTATACAATTAAGTGGTTTTTGCAGATTTTTTTCTAAAAAAAAAATGCAGCTAGACTGGGTAAAAAAATTAAACATGATATCGTTACTTGAATCATTACGTTTATTTTGATTACTGGTATTGATATCCATACCTCTTGTGCCAATGCTGTTGTTCCATTCAAATATTGTACAAGTTTCCAATAATTTCGTACCGCATGTTCAGAACTATTTATCTGGAATTTCTCGAGTTGGTCGAGTCTTGCAACAAATACGTTGTTCCACTTTTCAAATTTAGTCATTCTGAAAATTGAAATTTATTTTACTTATTTATTTATCCCTGCTATTTTAAGCGTCCATAAAGACTGACCTATAAAAAAAGTGAAACATATGATAAATAATGCTAAACAAGAATAAAATCAAGCTCATAAATTTTAAACTCAGTTCTTAGATAGATTATTGCAATTAAAATAAAAAGACTATTGGAGAAGTGAGAATTGAAAAGGTTGAATAAATCCGGGGATTACAAAGTTAATTTTATCTATGAATGAAAGGTTAAAAATACGATTGGCCCGCCTACTCAGTATATACTTGAAAAATTATTGTACATTTCTTACCTTTCAGCATTATTTATGTCTGACTGGTAAATTTTTTCTGATATTTTGCTTAGAGTTGCATTCTTGAAATTATGAATTGATACCCGTAATCCCTCCATCTCTGATCTAAATTTTGCGGAAGACTGATTTACACGAGAATCCATATTTTCTTCTAATGTACTTATGTTGATCTTAATAATCCTGAAATCTTCTAGCAAACTTGTCATCTGAAAATTGAGGTAAAATAATATTATCGGTTTCAGTAGAGTAAATATAAACAAAGGTACAACAAAAACATAACTAAAAAAGTGTAAAATTGTTATGAATTGACTTGTAATAAATGTATTTAATTTCAGATGATCATTTTAATATGCCTGATACTATTAATTTTTATTTGTAAACAAAATACAACGAAGTCCTTTGGAATCATGATTTTGAATAAAAAAGCTGAAGTTGTTCTATAACTATAACTATTAATAACCTCCTAATATTTTGAAATATTCATTTAATACCTTTGTTTTCACATTATCTGCATTTTTCTCTTCCACTTTGCTCAAATTCATCAACAACATTTTGTTTTGATTTACTTTTGTGTCCAGGTACACAATATTATCACCCATTGATTTATTTAGACTTCGTAACATTTTATCCAAATAATCCTCCAACTTCAGTAACTCCATTCGCAAAGATGTGATGTTGGTCAATGTATCATAATTGACTGCTTTAGCCTCCTGGTGAACCAAAAAATATGTAAACTCAAAGGTCAATAAGTCAATTTCCAAAAAACTTAAGTTTACTTAAATTTACCTTTTCAAAAATCTTTGAACGTTTTAAATCATCTGTATTGTTTGTCACCATCTTTTTCAATTGATCCAAATTCGTTCGTATTTCCATTGAACTATCAATTACCATCGCAGAAATGGATTTATTAAACTCAACAAATCTATAGTAAATATCAAAATAAATATATTGTTACATGATACTGAAGCATGCCATGGTAGTGGTTTTTCATATACAATCATCAAACTAATTTTGACCTGAACAATAAGTCACCATCATCGATCTACAATATGAATTCAAGTATTCATAATTTGTTTTGGATTATTTGCCTAATTTATATGTGCTATGCATAATAAAAGTGCATCACATAGTGACACCTGGTGAAACCACGATGCTGACAAAAAATTTATATGGGAAAAACACCATAAGAATAAATTTTTTCTTCGTCAGTTATCAGATCAAAAGCTTAAATTTTTGCTTGCTATAGAAATATATGATCCAGAATTTTGAAATTCAAAAGACCACCTACTGTGTCAAATGCTATCAGATTAAGCAGAATAGCTTATATTTTGGCAAAAAAATTTAGCTCTCACAAATTAACACATTCTCAGTGTCATCTTACTGGTAGTTTTACTTTTGTGTACATTTATATAATATGATGCACTAATTACTTTTGAACAACATCCAAACCAAGTTTTCTGTTTTCTTGTAATGTAACATTGTATTTCACATCACTAGATATAGCGATTTCTTCTCGTAATTTTACAACTTCAGAATTGAGCAAAGAAGACAATTCGTTTACAGTAGTGTTTGTTCCAAATAACCCATCGAAGTTCAGTTTTGTGTTAATGTTGTTTTCTTCTAATGCCACTGATAGGTGGTTTATCTGTTGAAAAATATAGATTGAACAAATGTTGCATCCACAGAAAACAACTGGAACACAATTGTTTGCTATCAAGAATGTAAACTCAGGCTTCCAATCTACATCATATATAACATTGTATTTACTCAGAATCAGTGTCTGAAACATTATCTTTACAAAATTCAAGCATTATTAAGAAAGTTTATTTCTATTTCCACAGATAAGAATCGCAAATTATCAATTACCTTGTTTTGTAGGTTCTTTAATGAAGTTTCATAATACTTCTCATTATTATTTATTCTGTTGCTAATATTTTTCATGTGAAACAAGTTTTGAGCAACATCATTCACAATTGTGCTGACATTTTTTTGATTTGATGTTGTAGAACGTTTGATCAAGCGTAATGCATCACTCTGATTTTGATATTTTTGTATCCAACTATCATTTAAATGTTCTATTTCAACTGATAATGATGCCATATTGGAAAATATATTTGAAAAAGCTTCTCTGATGTCCTGAAAATATATAGTTCATCATAGTTTATATCATAGTTTTAGCCAATGTGACTGCAAATTAAAATATGGTCAAAAATGATAAAATAAGCAATATCATACCAAGTTTTGTATCGTTGTTGCATTATCTGATTTTTGTAATTTCTCGATATCCTGTTCATTGTTTGCAAGTTTCTCATACAAATTATTGAGCTTTTCATATAGTTGAATATTTTTCTTAGTAAAATTTATCATCGAATCATTCAATTTGACAGAATTCAAATCTATGAGCATACTGTTGTTCTGCATATTTAATCCTAATCCAGATATTTCTTCAGCATGTTTTTTGATGGAATGATCAATATTGGTTGCTTTCTCCAACAAGTGTGCAAACTTGAAAAAATTACAATACTATATTTTAGTATATGTATTAGTATTTAGTATTGTACTATCCTGTACAATTTTGCAATAGGCAATTCTCAAACAAAATTATCAGACATCTGCATTTTCTCAAAAATATAAAACTCAGAAACCATTCACATAGGCAGTTAAGTTTTATGGTACAATTTTAGGCGCTCCCGTAGTATGTGCACCAAGATGGCGGACATCGGACCGTAGTATGTGTACCAGGTTAGGTTTAGGTACTAATTGAGTACCCAATTTTATAAAAGTATCATTACCATGTTTTTACCTTGTTCTCCATCTTCTTTTGAGATATTTCATAAATTTCATTATGATATTCCATTCCACTACTAAGATTTTTCAATTGCATTTCATTTTTAGCAATTTGGTTTTTGATTATGGTAACATGGTTTTGATTCACAGATGTGTAACTTTTGATCATGCTCATAACTTCACTCTGGTTTTGATATCTTTGTGACCAACTATCATTCAAATGCTCAATTTCATTTGCTAATGATGTCAAGTTGGATGAAATTTTCGACATTGATTTTCTTATATCCTGAAAATAATTTTGTTTCATTTTGATACCAAACTTGATTTTTATAGTTGTCAATAAAGAAACTCCCAATGTGACTTGTTATAAAAGGTCCAATAATTTTTTTTATGTTCAACACTGATAACAACAAACTATAAAAAAGACAGATCAAAAATATTATACTTACAAACCCGATTTGAGTTGATTTGGAGATTGAAATTTTTTATAAAGAATTTTAAAGAACAATGCAATGTAAAAAAAATTATTTGCAATCATGGTAACATTAAATAGAAAACCTCATTGTGCAACATTTCTGTTTGCTGTAATTCTTCAGCACTTTGTTTGTGGTTAACAAGTTGCTCAAACACATTATCGAGTTCATCATTGATTATAGTGTATTTTTCCATCAGATTTATCAATGAATTGTTCATTTCTATAGTATGCATATCAATTTGCAAACTGTTGTTTTGTATATTCAATCGTGATTCATATATCTCTTTAGATTGTATCTCGATTTTGTTGTCAATACTCTTCGCTTTTTCAGACAAGTGTAGAAGCTAAAAGATAAAGGATCTCTCTAAAATTATACATAATGGAATACCTGTATAGAAATTTGTGCATGCATTGTTCAATATCTGTATTTGTATATATATATTCAATATTTGTCTAGATTTGAATGTAACTAGTATACCAAATCTTTTACCAGTACATAAAATGATATTGATTCCTACACAGTTTCGTTCAAATTAAAATTAATATGTGATATAGAAAATAATTACTGTATTTGTCGTGGCATTCATAGACTTCCTCTGGATTGTATTCAAATCATCTATTCCAGAGTAAACAGTTTCCAGAAATCTGCTATGATTTGAAAGTTTCGACAAAATTTCTACATCGTTTTCTAAAAAAGTATTTCTTTTTCAATAATTCATAATTCATTTTATCATTTATAATTCTGCAGTAATATGCAAGTACTTCATGTGAAGTGACATACCTTACTTGTGGAAATAATCTTAACAACATAAAAAATCTCAGACTTAATGGAGCATTATAAAAATTGTAATCCGAACAAATAGTTGTTTTATTATTGCATTATGGTTTTTCTTTTTGGAACTAATGCCACATACTTTCATTATTTTCTTGCTTCTCTATCCAAATCGTCTCTATGACCTTCAAGTTGTCTTCCATTTCCTCCATTCTTACTGATGAATTCAACATGAATTCCTTCATTCTCTAAGAGAAGTATTATTTCATTTCAATTCAATTTCCAGGAATTAATGAATTATATTTTGGCAAACTTCATACACAGCCCAATAAAAGCTGATGCATTTAACATTAATATCAAAAAATGACTTTTTGCAAATTTTGTTATAAAAGTTATGAAATAACACCCAACTTATATATAGAGAATAATATGCTGAGAAAAGGGACCTCAAAAGTCTAACAGCTTCCATCACAAATGTTTATTGGTATTTTGAGAATATTGTGGGTTTTATTTTTTCTAGTGTATTTTCCAACACTACTCTGGCACTAATCTAAAATATCAGCTTTATTAGGCATCTTCATCACGCATCTTATCACTGTATTAGAATTACATTATCTTGGGTTTATTTCAATTACATTTCTTTTTTACGTTTTTGTGCATTTGCTAAAAATAAGATTTGCTCTTAAACCAAAGTAAGCTACAAAGCAAAAAACATCTTACTTCAAATTTAGTAATTGTCACATTATTTGAATTGAGTAATTGCTTTCCCACTTTGTCATTTGTTGATACTTGATTTGAAATTTGTATGAATTGTTCATGAAGACTAGCAGAATCTTCACTTATATGCTCCAAAGATTTATTATGATGGTTTATTCTAAAATATTACCGGTATGTAATTAAACAAAATTGTTTAATAAAAAAGGTAACTGAAATTCTTAATGTAATATACTAACATATGTGACAAAGAAAAAAAGTAATACCATTTTATTACAGTTGTAAAAAAAGAAAAAGAAAAAGTAATGTTTTCTATGCTCCAGGAAAATTGAAAATAAAAGATTTCATCAAACAAATACATCATAATAAAACATATCAATTGCTTCTTAGTAAACTTATCAAATTTATGATGAACATATGTAATAAAATTTCAATGACCAAAGATATTAGGCATTGACCAATTTCAATCTTACTTAAAAAATATGAACTTGCCTTTCCAAAATCTTGATTTCAGATTCATGTATTGCAGTGAAGGCATCACTCAAAATGTTTTGATCTGAAACTCTGATCATCTTTGAAAGTGTTTCAAAACCATCAGCATATTTTGCACTAGACTCATTGATGAATATGAGAGTTTTCATGAATTGTTTAGAATGTGATTCAATTTGCTTCTCATTATCAAGAGCTTTGTTAAGTACAAGATTTGCCTGAAACACAATATATTACCAAGTTACCCAAAATAAAATATTTTGAGAACATATCATGAAAGAAAAAGATGGCGTCTAATATCATTCTGTCCAATAACTGAATGAAAAACCAAGACATTTAGGGTGTATATTCAATGGCCTTTATTTATTAATAACCATTTCGTATTATATCTGTTCTAATATAATCCTGTCCAATAATTGAATGGAGGCAATAAGACCTTCAGGTTGTATATTTAATGTTCATTTTTAATCATATTGAAAATATGACATTTTAATTTTGACACCATTTTAGTTGCATCTTCTTCTTTGACTGTCTGTTCAATATCAAATCGATTCATTCTTCTGTCAACAAATCCTAAAAGTTGAGTATTTTTCTGTATATCCATCAACATCCCTTCGATAGAACTTCTTTGCAATATAAATTTTTCATCTAATAACCCTATTGTCTCATTTTGCCTTCTTTCACCTCGGTGCCTATGTTTTTCCGTTTCAACAAATTCAGTACGAAAGTGTGTGAAATTGTATGTCAAGTTTTTCACAAAATCATCCAGTGACTGAAATTTTCAAAATGTAGAAATATATAACTCATAATCTATCAAAAATGAATGTCAGAATTTATTTCAGTACCTTCATTATATCCATACTTAAAAAAATGAAATAACAGGATAAGTAACATTACAAGTTATACTTCAAGTTTGATGAGCAAAATAACATTTATTTAAATTGATAACTATTGAAAGTGACCATTTGATAAACTACAGTACATAAAAAAACATACTTTCCATTTCTGTGATGATGCTTCATAGTTGAACTGTATACCTCCAATATCACTTTGTGTATCATCCAATCTCTTTGTCAAGTTAGATAATTTGAAGTGAAACAATGACGATTCATCATTGAGGTGCATCAACTTTTCCCCATATTCGTTTATTCTTAAATGTTTGAATTAAATAAGCAAACAGTGAAAACAGGTTTTCATTGATGAAAACCTAAATATGTCTATGTGTATGCTTGTCTAGGTTAGTGAATTGTGAAACACCTTATAAACATGAGATGATGATAAAAAAAAATTATTAAACTTTATTCTCTCATAAATTATTATAAAATGACTGCAAACTGCTTATGGCCACCACCACCGTCTCGTGGAATCCAGACACAAATTATTTTAGGTTTCATATATTATGTACTAATATCATTTAAATATTTAGGATTTACATATTTATCCTGGGAGAGAGGATAAACATAGCCTCTCGACCAGTTAGCAGTCAATGTTGGAGTTTTTCAGTCAGTTATTTGTTTTCAGATGCATGAACTTGATGGTGGAGGAAGCCGCAAACAAACCCATCCCAGCGAAGAGGGCGAAGAGGGTAATTGGAGGTGCGTGCGGTGGCAAGCGTATTCCTAACGCTTAGCATGATGCGCCACACTGCTTAGAGGCACACCTATAACATACCTAGTAGTGGCATTTTCTTGGATTTTTTCCAGTTTATCCAAGGTGAATTCTTGAACTTTCTCACAAGTAATAATATTAGATTTATTTAATTTATCCATATCTGAAATAAATTTTAAATTTGCTTTTTCAATGGCAATAACTAAATCTGATATGTTCCAATGATTGACACTAATACTATTCCAGTTGTTATCCACTCTTTCCAAAATACTTGAGATCTGAAACAAGAAATGTCTTGTATAGTTATTCTCAATATTCGAGAACTATTTTGTTATTAATTGACATTGGTTGATAACTGATATCTGTAGTTCATGATAATTCACAAGCCAACCACACATGCAGGACTACACAAAAAATAGAAGCAAATTCGACCTTTACAATGGTTCTTCGCGTATTTTGTCATAAATTCATTTCATTATATATTTGTCTGCAGAAGCCAGTTTGGTTAGGGGGAAGGTAGTCAAAAAATAGAACAAATTAAATTTGGCACTGACGAATATTGATGCAAGATGCATTTAACTAATTAGTGTAATATAAATTATCTGGTTTTCAAAAGTTTATTTTCGAAATTGGGGTGAAGTAAACTCAATAAGAAAAGATACTAATCAGCAATTACAATAAAAGTTAAAACAATACCGTTTTGGCAAACCGTTCTTCACTATTTTTCTGTTCTCTTGCAATATCTTCAACTTTATGACTAATAGTTGTCAAGGCAAGATCATTACTGCTAATGTTGTTTCGAATATTGAGAACATTTTGTTCATGAACAATATTTCTGATTCTTAAGTCATTGATAGTTTTGTTATGATTTTCCAAACTATTCACAACAAAATCATCCATCTGCTTCATTAATGTTATGTTCATGAAGATATCCATATCTATTTTTTTGAATTCCTGAATGCATAGAAACATACCGGTAAGTCATATTTCTTCTTATGTAGACTAATGATCATATACATAATTAGTATCACATAATAATTATTCATCTTAATCAGTGGTGTTCAAGCGAGGTTCTGTGGCACCCTAGGGTTCCGCCAGTACAGTCTGCGAGTTCCAATATTTTTGTATAATTTGTATCTATTTGGTTTGTATTTATTATCATTATATTGCCATTACTATACTTGCTACAGTTTGAAGATCATTTTGTTTTCCAGTATTAGATTTTCTCTCATAGATATTCATAGCTTATGCAATTCAAACAATAAAACACAGTTAAATTATTGTACAGTGGTTCCTCAAGTCTTCATTGGGGGTTCTCCCCACCAAAAAGTCTTGTTTACATCTAATAACCTGCTAGTCACAGATATGATCTTCAGAGACAAGTAAAGATGCTAAAAAGGGATTCTAATTTTTCAAATGATACTATGATGGTTATTAGATAAACCCAATGAAATAATAAATAAGCAATACGTTTTGCTGTTAGCATAAGCTTTGAATGGCTCGGCAGTATGGTGAATTGTGCCAAGCGTCAGAAATATGCTTGCCACCGCACCTCTGATTACCCTGTGTGGGTTCGCAGGTTTGAATACCATTATGTGCTCACTTATGTGCAGGAGGACTGCTGGACTCCTCGCCATCATAGGGTGGTTCACGTAACTGCTGGTCGGTTACAGCTGCCTCCACCATTAAGTCCATGCATCTGAAAATGAACTAACTAGCTAACTAATCCCATACTCGAATTGGATTGGTAACTGAAAAAGAGTCCGTGGTTCAACCATATAATTAAGCTATATTATCAGCTTTCCTCTTCCCGAGATAAATTTGTAAATCCTATCAAAAATCCTATCCTATTTTGGAACAGTAATGAATGTTGAACTTAAATTCAACAGTTTTAAATTTCTGAAATTTGATGAAATAAATAAAATAAATAGGAACTTCTAATATAAATCTTTATAATATTAAATATGATTACCTCAATAGCCTGTGTAATTGTAGTATTTGAAAGTACTAATTGTTTTATATTTTTCTCATGATCTGAAATGTATTCTTCAACATTTTCGATTCGCAAATGAAGATGTCTAGTTTTGTTTTCAATATTCTTCAATGATTGACTATGTGCACTGAAACTGAGTTTATAGATATATATGATGTTATTTTTCCTATAACAATTGTATTACTCTTTGAATAAAATAAAAATGTTACTTCTCTATAATTCTAAGCTCAGACTCATTTACACTCCTTAAGGCTTTCGATAAAATAAGATCTTGAGAAATCTTCATGGACATTTTAATTTTGTTCAAATCCATGAAGAGTTTTCTTTCAGTTTTGTTGATTTGAGCAAATCCATTCACAATGTCTTCAAAGAAAAATGCATTATTTTCTTGATTTTTGGTCAAGTTCTGTAACACTCTTCCTACCTAGAATAGTAAAATATTGAATATGATTAAATAATTAACCTTGTTAATAAAATTGATAAATATGTCACGAATGATAATTTTAAACATAAAGCAAAACAACTAAAATATACATTGATATACTTACATTTTCCAGTTGCTTTATATGTTCTCGGTTATGATGATGCATAATGTCAGTTGTATTTATGAGTTCAAGACTGCTTTTCGTTGTTTTATTCCAAATGTCTTTAATTTCATGTTTATTCAATATTGTTTCATTTGTAAGGTTATGTAATGAATTGGTGAAAAATTTATTTTGCTTCAGTTGCATTACATCCATTGCCGTCATTTCATCTTGCAATTTCTTGATCGTTGAGGTTATATTTCTTATTGCCACAGTTATCTGAATATTTGATAAAAGATTCTTGAAGTTAATTTTGTGATTGATAGAATTTTTTTCTACAAACTAAGAAGTTAAAATGTATAAACACAAAATTCAGAAAGAAAATTTTGACCTCATTAGACAAAACAGCTGTTATGTTTGAATCCTGTAGGTGTAGAACATTCAAAAGCATCTTATTGATTGACACTTGTTCAGTGATATTTTCAAATTTTACTTGCAGTTGGTTTGATGTTTTAGCGACATGAGACACAGATTGGTTAATTTCTTCCATTCTAAAACAATAATAGAAAATTTGTAAAATAATTTACAATGAAAATATGCAGTGCTAATCATTAGCTTCATGAATGATTCTTATTCTGATACATAGTACATAAAAGACTGTAGGGACAATATAGATTAAATGAAACTTGAAGATTGCTTTTGAAATTTCCAATAAAAAATAGAAACAACCTAATAGCTTTAATGTTGCATGTTTATAAATATATTTCAGTATAATTGGAACATCAGTTTAATGATCATTGTATGTTGTGAAAGTACTAAGTCTTGGTAGTAAATTTTTCTAACCTTTCATCAAAATTAATTTTGGTCTTATTCAGACTTTCAATTGCATCTCTTTGTGAATCTTTATATGAGATTATAAGCATTTTCTGTAGCTTTCTGATATTTGAATTGATTGATGTATTAACATTATTTATATTTTCTTGATTGTCCAGTACTGATTGAGAACATGAAGTAATAGCAACATTAATACTTTCAAGATCACCTTGCAACATCACCATCTAAAAGCATATAAACAAATGTCAAAAGTAACAGATTATCAATTGCTTGGAAACATGATTGATAAAAAAGGAAAAAATTAATATACAGAATGTTACCATGAGTTATATATGAGATAATGGGGGAAAATATATATTGCCTGGCAAGTATCAATTGAAACAAAAAATATTCACTTTAAATTATTATCATTATTAAACAAAAAAAGTTCAAAAATCAACATGCTGTACCTTCTTATCAACAATCCCCATTTCCTCTTTCTGTTTTATATTTGCAGCAACAACTCCTGAAGTAATATTCGACAAAACTGAGAATGCATTGCCTGAGTCCTTTTGAACAATATCGATTCTCTTATCGTGCAATATGATTGCATTTCGAACTTCAGAGATAGACGTGTTCTGCTCAGAAATTTGCTCAAACAATGAATTTTCCATTTCATTAATTTCTTTTGCTATTGCAGTCATCTCCATAGATAAATTTGAAACAAAATTTCTTATTTCCTGTAGAAAGTAATGATGATCAATTCTTACTCGTCTTCATGCAATCATATGTGACATTCTAATACTATGATGTATTAGTTTTTTAAGTATTCTTTTTATAGATGCATATTGCACAAATGCGATTTAAGCCAATAGAGTTTCCTATGTCTATCCAACATTGTTTTTTATCATAAAGAAGTGCATCATAAATAAAGTGCATTTGGATTCATTTGTTCAATACAGTGGTGCAATGAAGTCATCCAAGCATTCATTCAAAATAAATGAGTATTACAATTTATTCAGCTAATCTAATATTCGTAAATCAACTTCTAAATGCTCACATGAGATAGGATGAAAAGGCCGAAAACAACAAACTAAAAAATAAGTCTACTTGAAATAAAACAAACCGTTTGCTCTGAAAACATTGTTATATTGACTCTCTGTATTTTTTCAACATTTGTTTCATATTTCAAAATTCGATCCATGAGATATCCTAATCTTTGTTGAATTCCATTTAATTCATCATTCAGATGTTGCATGGATTTATTTGAACTGAGTATTCTTGCAAATGGAAAAACATTTTAGTAAGCTAAAAACAATTTTTCGAAAGACATATAAAGTCCAGAAAGAATGGGAAAGTTGAAGAGTTTCAACATTTCCTATTGTCAGTTAGAAAAACGAAGTGGCAACTTGCTGAATTAGCACTAAAGCATTGTGGAAACTAAGAAGTATTTGAATAAAAGTATATGTACAAAATTTATCATTTTGCAACAAACCTTTCATTCATGTCCCTTTCTGAGGTGTTGAACAAATCCATCATATGTAGCATATGAGACATTTGAGATTGTTTTGCTGATTTCATTAAACGTTTGATCACTGATGTAACATTTGACAAAGTTTTGTTATTCAATCCATATAGCTCTGATATTTTCACAACATTTTCATCGATTACTTGATCTTGGATCTTCATGGTATCAAATATAATTCCTATCTAGAAAAGTAAAACAAATTCTTGTCGCAATTTGCAAATTGAAAATAATAACCATCGAAATACATAATTTCATTTTCTAAATTATTTCACAAAATTAGCATTTCAAATTAATATAGAGAATTGAAATTTTACGATAAATATATCAGAAATTCATTTTTCGAGTTTTTGCAAATTTTGCTCGTCTTGACAAAATCACACCTTTCATCTTCTATATTTTTTCCATGCTCACCTTCGTTTCCAGATTTTTTGTTAATTCCTTATTTTGTTCTATGATGTTTAATGTAGATTCAGTGAAATTTGAAATGAAAATGCTTGAGTTTCCAATCTGTTCTATAGTTTTGATAATGTTCGTGTTGCCACGTTTACAAATATTCTCCAACTCCATCAATTTCGTTGTTTGATTGTTAAACTTCGGCAACAAAATTTCGTTGTTTTTTTCGAATTGAAATTTCAATGATGTCAGATTCTTCTCAATCTCTTTGATAGCTTCTTCTAAGGACTTTGAATTGAAGAATTGAATTAAATTGAATTGAAAAATTGAATTTTTTTAAGACTTATAGAATATAATTATTTTTTATTACTTTGGTAGCATAGTCGTGTAACACCATGTTGTATATTTACTTTTACTTACCTTCACTTTTATTGCTGTGGATGAGTTATATTGAGTCAACAATGAGACACTTTTCGAATAGTTAGACATCTTGAATCTCAAATCAAAGATTTCATCATCAAAAGACTTTACCGTTTGATTAATTTTTTCTTTCATGGGAGACAATGAGTTGTCATTTTCAGTAATTCTAAACAGAATTCAATTTTTTTAGATACAAGAATGGGAACATATTTCAAATATGTACTCAATGTATTATTTTGAATTGAATACACAAAATAACATACCTCAAAGATAATTTCATGAATTTGTCAGCAAAATCTTCATCAGTTTTCTTGAGTTTTTCTGATACATATGATACCTGGGTATGAAAACAAATTTCTGAATAACAATTTGATACATATATCTTCTGTATGATACAATACTTTTTTTACCTACATCAATGTATAAACTACACATTGAAAAATTTCTGAAATTTATATTAGATTGAATGTCAGCACAGAAAAACAGCCTTAGTAAGTTTAGCATACCTTAATACCCAATGCCATTTGCTCCTCTAACATTTTTATCTGATCTTTAACCAGCATATTAACCTTTTCAGTAAGGTTAGTGGGATACAGATCATTTGTAAGTTTCTCCAAAATATTTTCAATATTTGCTGCATTCTGCACAGTCTCATTCTTTATATTTATAAAAGAATTATTGTGACTGGTGTGAGTTCCCAACAAAGATGTCTGCAGTATTTCCACTTCTCTTTGTAATGGTGTCACAATACTTGTTACATCAAGTAATGCATTTTGAACTCTCTGTATAAGAAATATAGATATATATATATACTGGTATATTGAGTATATGTTTATACACGTTTGTCTGATCCAAGGTCCTAGGATCTCAAATTGAAGTAGAAAAAGTATTTGTAGAGAGAGCATGCACAAAGTTCACTGATAGAACTTGATTCAATTCAAGTCTGTGGATCTAGGAAACAACAAGTGAAAAATAATTGCCCAATTCATCCCATTTTATCTAGGTTGAAAAACAGTACATTGAAAAATTATTACGTGCAAGAATACTTCAAGAACAAAGCTTGTATTTCCAGCAAGACTAAAAATCATACTGGAATAAATTGAGCAATATGAATTATCTAGATAAGAGACTTGCAACCATCGGTTGTTGAATTTGTTATGTGCTGTAAAATTGTAGCACTTGGAATAACGGAACCTAGTTATGACAATAATTCCTGTGGTTCAATTTCCTTTTAAATATAAGGTTGTAGGGTTTTGCTTTATTTTTACAAACACATTAGCCTCAAATTGAAAACCAAAGATCTAGATAATAAATATGCAAAAAATAGGTGGAAAGATTGCACTGGACTCCTGACATCTGCAGAGTGGATCCAACACCTGCTGATAAGTTACAGCTACCTTCACCACCAAAGTTCCATGAATACGAAACATCAACTGGTAAACTATATCTTGCATGAACTGGTAACCAGTCAAGAGGCCATGGTTCATCATATGATTCTACCCCTATGATGCCTCACTTTAGTTTAACTCTACGCTTTCGCAAAAACTAACAAATCCTACATTTGACTCATGTTTAAGAAGTTCCTTTGTATGCTGCAGATTTTCAATGCTCTTCATAATGTCAGAGTTGTTTTGTTCTATTGCATGTAGTCTATCATGAAGAAGATCCACTGAAAGCACTTGGTCATTGTTGTAATCATGTAATCTAAACAGAGATAAGGGCTTGTAATTACAACCAGATGTTATGAATAAAAGTTTTTTAGCCGATTTACCTCAACGGATCAATTTTAATCTAACTTAAACTAAACTATCATTATAAATAAAACGGAAACAACAATTTTCTGTGGTGAGTATGTAAAAGAAAAGGCCTAAACCATGGCTGTTAGTAGGCGACCTTTTTAAATTTTTACTATGTTATATAGGCTTAAGTATGTTTCGTGATTTTGGTGTAATTATTCCCGTCATCTATCGACATCCAAATGCTGAATCTTATTACTACGTATGTATCAAGTGTTGCGCCCTGATGGATTTTTATTTCTTTCCGAACGCACACAAACTCGAAATATATATTGTGCGATAATTGGCGACGAAAGCCAAGCGCAATTATAGGAAAGAACTTGGAAGCTAAATTTTCAAATTTATTTGATTCTGATTGCTTTCTTTTGTGTCGGCTTTGATTGTCTTTATCACCAACGTAAAATAAAATTAAACCCTACCCGTGAATTCTAACGAAATCAGGACATGGCTGGTATCAAAGTTTGGTACAAACGTTTGCGGCCCGCAACGAATTTTGTCACATGAAAGTGGCCCACGAGACGAAAAAGGATGGGCAGGCCAAACTATCTTCTAAAATGTTCATAATGATAAGAAACAAATAAATGCTCACTTCTGACTTATGTTGATTTTCGAATTTTCAATTGCTTGGAAAGATTCTTTTAATACCGTCTTGTACTGAGTTTTACTATCATTTTCCATTCTGTTAATTTTGGATAAAAGATTTTCATATATCTCACTAATTTGTTCGCTAGTATCAATTAATCTATTTGCGATAGATGTGATGTTGACTGCACTTTTGTCGATAGCTTCATTTGCATTTTCTATCTGTAAAATTAGAATAAGTTTAGTTGTAAAAGTTTTCAACATGTTGGAACGATTTTTGCTGAAGAAAATATGATATATATAAAAATATTAGAATTAAGCAAAATGGTAATCTAAATAATAACTAATTATCAAAATGTTCAATAAGGTTGAAGGTTTGTCCGAATGATTATAAATTTGTACAATCAATCTGTAAAGAAATATATAGAAATTTTTCTATTTATGGTTTAATTTTAATTTTGTTTGCGTGTCAATTTTAATAATATAAAAGTTGGGAAAGGGATTGAAATATTTTACCAAAATTACATTGACTTATTGATCCTAAATAATTACAAATATTACAAAAATTGTGACATTAAGACACATACATACCTTTAGATTCATACTTTCTACTGTTTGATTACTTTTATCAATATATGCAAGGAAATATTCAACTTGATGCTGGTTCATTACAGATATGTTTTGAAAAATATGAATTTTCTCTGTTTGAACATCGTGTTGACTTTTCCATGATTCAGCCAAATCACTTATGTTCTGATTTAATGTTTTCAGCTTTTGCGATAGAAGTAATGTAGAATTGTTCACCAGCTAAAACATGAATAAATAAAAACTTCTTCAAATCTACGAAAGAAGGAAATATACTCTTGAATAGTGTATTGTAGATTCTTCAGCTCACTATGAAATATTTGTGAAAGAAAATAGCTTTCAAAACAGAAACTTTTTCAGTAAATTCAAATAAAGTAAACAAAAAGCCACCTATGAAATACATTTAGAAAAATGCCTAATATTCTGTGTGTGGTTTACTGGACTGTCAAACTTGCATAGCATAAACATATCTAATTTATATTTTTTATTAATAACTCATTAAAACTAACTATTTATATTAATGTGATTTATATCAAGTGATTTGTACAAAGTTAAATTGAAATTGACGTACCATAAAAAAAGTTTGAATGCCAATAAATTTGAACAAAAAATATTTGAATGAAACTGTATTAATTTCAGCTAATATACATACGCTTACAAATATAATCTTCCCCATGTGAAAGTATAGTATGATAAAATAATCATCAGTAGATAAAAATGTTTATCTTCATTTAATAAAATAAAGTAGTAAAATTGTACCTCATAGTTTTACTGTACAGAATATAGTCATTGGTGACAATTGCATGCAGCTCTGAATTTGGAGGTTTTGGTCAAAACATCACTCACCTTTTTCTATTTATCAAATGTTCATAAATTGACGTTATTTACCTTAGTGTGCAACATATTCACTCCACTATATTCTTTTAAAACTTTTATATCAAAGGAATTATTTGTAGCTTTTTGTAGTACAGCTTTTAGTTTATCTGAGAAAAGTCTGTTGGATACATTGAGCAACCCAGAAATATATATTGATCTATTTTCCTGATCCAATATCCTGATAAAATGAGGATACTTAAAATATGTAAAAATGCACAATGCATAATTATAACAGAGATAAGATACTTGGGACACACAAATATAAATTTAAATAGTAATAAGTCAATTTTATCATCATTTATGAACACTTGTATTAGGTTATATTATTATAGGTTGCAAGCATGACCTATGTAAAAAACATAATTTTATTTAGGCCAAGATTTTCCTTATTTTAGTTCTATTACAAGGGACTGACTGTCTGTGTTAGCCAAGTGAATATCCCCTTGTCCATAGCTTTCAGTCCCTTCACACAACTTGATGTAGGTAAAATATCCGAACAAAATTAGTTACCTCCATATTGGTACACATACTCCTGGAGCACCCATTTACTATTACAAAACCTAAATTTTCAGTTACTGACCTAATCTCTACCCAAACTGAGCTCGCGTATTTTGTTTCACATATGGCCTAGCAATATTTGACGCCACATATGAATGCATCACGGAACTATCTGATTGGATCCTAACCTGATTATTTTTCCTTTAGATATTTTGACTTTTAATTTAATTTTAATTAATTTAATTTAATTACACATACATACTTTTGTTCCAAATGTTTGTCAGTAATGTTCAAAATATTCAACTTTTGATATATTGAATTATGGCTATCCTGAAGACGTGCCAATTCATTTTCAGTCAATTTTTTTAATTCGTCCAGAGAATGATTCATATTCAGATGCACAGAGTCCATGTGAGAATGAGTATTGAACATTTCTTCAAACACATATGAGACATTTCTTTCAGTATGTTTCAATTTTTCCACAATATTTTCGATCTGGAAAAAAAGCGCTTTGAACAAACAAATTTGGAGCAATATGACATCATATGGCATGTCATGCAACTTGTGCAAGTTTCTACAGATCATGTTACTAATAATTAAGACTTTTGTTTAGAATCTCAAGTACTATACCATATGAAATTTATTTTAACAATGACAACAACCTTTGAGTCAGCATCTTTGTTGTTCTGTTCCAAATATTCCAAGTTATGAGATATATTTTCCGTTGTGTTAACAACATTCAAAATTTGTAGTTGATGCTTTGATAATGTTGCAAAGATTTCATACGAATTCATTGAATACAATTTCAAGAAATCAGTTAGTTTGTTAGTTTGATTTTCTTGTTTTCTACTCATCAGTGATGACATATTATCCATCAGCAGTCTCAAATTGACAGTGGTGTTTGAAATATCTGATACATTTTCTTTCATTAGCTAAAAATTTACAGAATTGAATATTATTAACAAAAGCTCAAAACTAGATATTATTTAATTCGTTTTGACATACAGTATTCAATATGGTGTTCATTCACTAATAAAAAAAAAAATTCAATTTAAAATATATAAAATAAACCATCCACAAAAAAAAAAAATTAATACTGCAGTGATTACTAACTATGTCTTAAAAATTGACAAAATGAGATCTCAAAATTTGAGAAGGATAAAAATTCATTATCTTAGCTGCAAATAAAGCAAATGAATTTTAGGTTATTTTATAATATTGTTATTGCGGGCACTTCACAATATATCAATAAAAATTATATTTCATCCCTGAGTCATATAAAGTACTAAAACATTTGAAAACTTTGCTCAATGCATAGTTCGTTGAGAACATGGATGTTACAGATGTAACAAAATTACATACATTCAATGAATCCATAGCTGAAATGTCATGTAGTTGTAAATTTTTCACATCTTCAATGGTATATTTACTTTGTTTGAAGAGTTCACCTATTTTGATACTGACAATCTTTGATTCATTTACCAGGCGTGAAAAAGCAAGATTGCTCATAGAGAACCTGTTGCATAAAAATTTCGGAATTTATGAGTCTTGTAAAAACAGCTGACATGTAAAAAATTACTCACTAATATTTTCCCTATTTTACAAAAATGTTAGCAACAGTAGGATTAACTCATGCACATTGAGCCAAACACATCTAAATGTGTTTTTGTATTTACAATAGCCATCTATTGTATTTGAATATTCATATCAAAGCCTTACCTTGTATTTATCAACTTCTGAGATTCATTCATGAATGCCAACACCTTTATTATCTCATTACCAAGCATATTTTTCATTTCATTTATGCTGGGTTTTAGTTTTGCCAAGGTCTCTTTAGTGACATTCAATTCTTGGTCTGTTGCATATGACAAATTTGCAATTTTTTGATTGAGGTACATTGCCATTTTTTCTACATTTGTTATCTGTATGTATAAATATCATTGAAATAATGATGAACAAAGAAAAGCGCCATCAATTCTGTGGTAGGTCGGCATGAAATGCTTAGAAGATTGCAAGCCAATTATTTATATATGTGCTGAATACATTATTACATTCTTGTTATAAACTCTTGTCTACTATAGTATAGACCAGTGTTTCTCAAACTTTTTTTGCTCGCGGCGCACTAAGCAAATAAAAAAATTTGCAGCACATTTGTAAAAAAATGAAGGTCGTTTTAAACAAATTGTTCTGCAAATGTTAATGCGATGTGTGTGCCTGTTTTAAGAAGCAATTGAAATGAGGTTCCGTCGCTCCATTTTTTGCTTTTAATTTCAGCCATAGCAGATAATCCGTTTTTCAGAGCCACGAAGAAGCAAATGGCTAGATTATTTTGATGGCTTTTGCATGGATGATTAAATATAATTTGTAAGCAAATAGACTTGTCGAAACTTGCTTTCCTGTTAGCCTAACTAAGCGCGCAAGTCAACATGGTGGAAGGTAGACATTTTGTTTACAAATACATTATGACATAACAATATAATTATAACATGACAATCACCTTTACTACAACAATAAGGCAAATGCACTAATATTATCAGTCTAATTAAATACTGGATACTCAAGTCTCACAAGCTTGCCCATTGCATGCATGCCTATGTGTAATACGAATCTAATATTCCAAAAAGCTCTGCAGCACACCTGAGTATCTCCTGCGTCACACAGTTTGAAAAAATCTGGTATAGACAATACTATACTCTTATCTATATCCACTTTCTCAAAAAGTCATTTACAAAAAATATCATTATTGAGTAATTCCTTGATAAGAATTTTCTAAAAAGGCTGAGAAATGCTTTCAATCTATACAACTGCAATTTCAACCCAACATTATGATATGACAGATAAAATAGTATTGAGAAATATTTTAAAGACAAGAAAGATAATAAGACAGATTGACATCCATCTATACAGTTTAACTCTCCCTTCGCATGTCAGACCATAGCCAACCAGTATTTAAGGAAAAACTACATCGACGAGGGAAATAAGTGAGGCAGTCTGTTGCTGCCTTTGAGTTATGAGTCTGTAAGGTATGAAAACTTACCTTTGATTTTACCACACCAATCTCCAAATCATTGTCCTGGGTATTTTTAGTCATGTTTGATATGATTCTTTGCAATATCTACAAACAAAATAATAGTCATGACTATTGCCATATTTTTAAGTTATATTCATAAAAGTACACAAATATACAAAGTACCTTTATTTTTAATTTGTCAGATTTATCAGAAAGATTTACTAGGTTTAGATCCTCCGTGATATTAAGTATATTTTGCGTCATAATATGCAAATTGGTCTTCAGTTTGTCCAATTCGACTTTTTGTGTGGCTTCTTGTAGCATTGACATTCTTAAAAGAAAAAATACACTTAGCAAATTCCTTTTTTTATCTAGAATGAATATAGAACCCTCTGTGAAATAAATGTTTTCTATTGTTCATTATGTGCCTAGTTGTAGTGGCATACGTGTGAGAATAAAAGATATATAGATGCAACCCATACCTTCGATTATTTGCAATAGTCTTATTGTAGTTCTCCAAAATATTTGATATGTTGATTATCTGTAAAATATATTATAATAATTTATATCATAATTTCCAATAAATTGAAAAAAAGAAATGTTATTAATGTTAATTATCATAAGTAGTGAATGCAACACCATAAATTAACTTTCATAACACAGGGTATACAAAACTTCAAAATTATTTGGGTCCGGTCTTTCCAAAAATTATATTTCGACATTTCCAAACGCGGATTTCCTCGACCAGCTAATGATTATTAGCTAATCAAAATTGCTTATTATGGTGTCATAGTTCTTTTCATATATATTTAAAACTATAAAAGTCTTTTTATAAAAGAAAACTTTAAAAGTGGGGCTGATGATCTAAAATAAAGAATTAATTGCGGTTTGAATCAAATACTCGAAAGGTCCGGATTCGGACAGCAGTCCGCCAGTTGAGTAACCATGCTATAGAGTTTGATTGGGTCATTGTTACAAGCATTTATGTTAGCTGAATAACTGAAACAGCATGAAAGATAATAAACTAACACAGCTGGTTTATGCACACTAGAACCATCCTGAATTCACAATTATGACTTGGGCAATCATATCAAACATTCAAGCTTACCTGTTCCATAATACCAAGTTTTGTATTAAGTTGCTCTGCAATAATATAATCAACTTTATCACTCATGTTGACAACATACATCATATTTTTGTTCAATTTTGATAAGACGGATTGCCCTGAATTTTCACTCATAGTTCTCAATTTGTTGTAGAAAATACTGTGATTATAATCAGACTCTCTCAGTGACTCATTAACGCTTTGAATCATTAATTTGTTGCTCGAAATATTTTCAAGCAAATCAGCAGACACTTTGTTAAGACCATCGTAATGATTCTGAAGGGTAGTCATGTTTTGCACAGCATTTTTGAAATTATTGCTCAGTAGATTGAAGCTGTGATCCATATTTGTGTTTACATTTTGAATACTTTTTTGCATCGATGATACGTTTCTTGTCAGCCAGGGTAAAGATGTTGATATTTCCTGAACGAATATTTGTACATAAGTTATGTAGTTGAGGGTTTCCTAAAGTTATTCAAAAATTATTTGCTACCATGGATACTCTTCCAAAATTACTTTGTCCTAGTTACTGTAATTACACCATATTTCATATTAGGATGAATGAAGCATTCAAATTGGAGATGAAAATAAATTTAGAAAAACAATACGATCTAAGAAGCTTGAATGATATATGCAATTATTTATGACAATTCAAGTCATTGCAAAAAATGCACATTGTAAAATAAAAATGACAACAAAAGAACACAAGAACAAATAAATGAATGCAATCCCTTCCCAATGGAGGCATCTCTTGCAGTTATAAAACTTTTCCACAATGTGTTTTAACATCACTCACCATTGCAACCTGAGACACATTTTCCAAATAATTTTGTTGGTGATTCAGGAGAAATGTCATATTTGCAAGACCAATAGAGTAGATCTCTTTATTAGTTTCAACCACAAACGCAATCCTTTTTAAATTGTCAAAAAGTTTTTGAAGAGTAACATTCCCTTGAATATTTCTGTACACAGAATTTTATATTGGTAAGTTATGTATGATAACAATCAAATACGATAGTGACATATAAAGCCTATACATGAAGAACAATGAAGTGATGTGTATTTTCTCTATATTAGTGGAGTGCAATGGCTCATCCTATGAGCCGCCCTTAACAGGCCCCAAATTAGAACATCAATTTAAGGTAATCCCTTTAGTTACATAAAATATTACGATGTTCCATACCTTTTCTGTTCTGCAATGGCATTTTTAGCTAAATGTTTAGATATAAAGATTGTTTTGTTTGCCAACTCATGAAAATGACTTTTCATTTTGGATTTCAAAGTGTTCAATAATTCATTTCTGTGACTGTTCTGTTGAAGAATTGCAAACAGCAGTCGACTGGTTGCATCTACATCTTGTGAAAAAATTGATCCATTGTTAAATTCGTTTGAAAAGAGAATCTCATCGTCTTCCTTTATGACCTAGTGTTGTTGAAATAAATTGAACACAATTATAATTAATGAAACTGCAGTATTGAAAATAGTAAGATATTTGGTATGAAACTGAATTCAATTAACTAGCTCTCGTTTTTTAGTTTTCTCATTTGTCATTTCTTGTTTACAGAAAGTTTTATAAAATATAGATCTTTGGTTTAAATCACCTCTTTCAACATTTCTCCATGCAGATGCCATTGAAAATTGAGTTTTGTTAATATTGCAGATTCTCGCAACTTCATATCATCTGTGGTTTTTGATAAACTTTTGGCCATATCATCCAAAGATTCATAATTAATTTGGAGGCGATCCAACCTCTCATTTGTACCTAACAGAGACTCTTCTATTTCTAGTCTTCCATTAGATAGAAAATCAACTATTCCATACAGTTCCTGATTAAAAGGTGACACATATGTAAATAATATATTTACAGATGAAGCTAGGTGCTACTGCTAAATGTAAATAGGTCACAAGATGACTTTAAAAATGACTTAGTGTACACAAGAAAACAATACCAACACATCCATCTTTCTTCATATAATTTAGAATGGGTCATATTATAGTTGAACTTGCCCCTTGAGAAAATAGTAAAGATACAATTTTCAAAACAAAGTATTACTAAAATTACAAATACAAAATACCTTTTGAATTTCTTTTAAACCTTGTAATTCTTTAGACTGCTCATAAAATCTCAAAGACACATTGGAATTTATCTTGTTCATTAAAAGTGAATTACTGTAGAATGTTTTGTTTAGTTCACTTATATCATGTAATAACTTTATTTTTATGTCTTCCACCAATATTAAATCAGATCTGCATAAAAAAAAAACACAAAGCATCATTTTGTACAGCACCTGAAAATTAATTCAATAATTATTTTGCCGACTGAGGGCACATGCTCAGATTGTAAGTAGAATAATGATCTGAGTATGGGCATATTATTTTTTATAAAAAACTTATCTCAAAGCAAATATTATGAAAAATAGGAAGTTATGAACAAAACTGAGAATGTTGTAATGCTATAAACGAACACGTTTCATTAAACACGGAAATCTTACATAAAAATGTCACAGTAATAATCATTTACATCAATTAATTGATTCACTATAAATCAGTTGCTATAAATAAATTAATCAGTTTGAGCATTACAAATCAACCTAAGGCCATAAAAAATATGTGAACGTTTACAAGCATAAATTGCAAGCAAAGAATGAATATTATTTTTGAAAGAAAGAAGAATATCCAATATTATTCAATCAAGTCATAACATCAACTACTTGTTTCTCATTTCATTATCAATATCTTCTATTTTTATCAGAGTGTTGTTTAGTTCATCTTTTGTGCGAAGTATTTCAGCATCTACACCATTTAATCTTCTTTCATTATCTCTAGATATATTCAGCACTTCCAAAAGGGCTTCTTTTTGAGAATGTACAGAATTTGATAATGATCTGATTCGATCTGCATATTCAGATGAATCATTTTCAACAGTTGATTGAATCTTGATAAAAAAAGTTATAAGTTATGGGTACCTAGCTGTCAAATTTTATACAGTGGCTGTAGTGTAGTCAAAACACACCATATTTTAGGTGATCTGTAAATCAGGTAAACATTATTATGGTTCAATATTTGATAATTTAAATTGATGACATAGGATTAAAACGATTTAGATTAATAATTATATGTTTATAATATAATAGTGTCAAACCTCAAACATCTTGCTGTTTATTTTTGAAAATTTCATTTCATTTCTTCTTATTTCTTTTGATAAAGATTGAACATTTCTGGAGAGGACGTTCTCAGTATCTTCGATGGAAACTTTCTGGAGATCTAATCAATAAAATGATTATTTTATTTTAGGGCGATTAACCACAGCCTAACTTAAAAACAATGGTATTCCATCCAATACTGTGTACAATTCAAAGTATTTTAATAAAATTACAAACCGATCATTCTTGCCAGAGAATTGACATCAATAGTCAAATTGTATAATATATTGTTTCTTACAATTTCTTCATCGCGGAATCTTGAAATTCGAATCTGCAATGTTAAAAGAACGTAGCTAGTATTTCAAATATTGAATATTAAATAATAATTTCAAGGTTTTTTTAAATATCTACACCTCTCTGATCTATCAGTATTGTTTATTGGAAGTGAAAAGCTAAAAGTATAAAGAAGCATAAAAATAAATCAGGCATTGTTGAAGAAATATGTCTAGATATTTTCTAACAAGAGATATGAATTAAAGTGTACCTCATTCAGCATACTAGTGGAATTGACACGATAGATCTTTGCCCTGAGTTCATTTGCAGCAGAATGTAATTGTTGTTCCTTTGAATGTGTTCTTTGTTTCTCTTCATACAAGGATAGTTGTAATTGATGTATCACAGAAACCGTCGAGTTCATTTCATTACAAAGTGAGGAGATAGAATTACTGTTTTCTGCAATCTTCTTATCACGTGAAGAAGCAACTTTCTCAAATGCATCAATTCTGTAGAATATTAGAAGTAGATGTCAGGTGACTTAACCTATGACAATCACAAAAACTTCGAGAATGGAGGTTGTTGGTTCAATTTGTCTCGTACTTTGACAGTGAAAAAGCTGCAACATACTAGTAGAAAAATTAACTATTAAATGGCATTGTGGGTAAAATAAACCACTTCCAAAAATTACAGGTGAGAATACAAAACATATGCTAACTGAATTTATTTTCCAAACCTAGTTTTCAGAACATTGATATTCGCAGTTTCTTCTTTCACATGTTTTAAATCAGCTGTAAGAGTCTGGGCTCTATCTACGGATTGAAGCAAATCTTGCTTTATTGTTCGAATTTCATTGTCCTGTGATCTGAAATTTTCTGCATTCGATTCAGTTTTTTTATCGAAAACATTCAGCATTTGTATATTTGATTGCTGTTGTGATTCCAATCTATGGGCCTGAATATAATTATGAATGATACTCCATGGAGTATTGCAAATAACAAGACTCTATACAAGCAAACGTAATATGACATCTTCACCGATCAAATGAAATACATACTCAACTCGAGGCAGTCTTCATTCCCAGATACAAAATACAAAAAAACGGTGCTCCTGAAGTATGTGCACCAAGATGTCACATAACCTTAACCCTAACCTGGTACACATACTATGTTCAGGTTGTGCACCATCTTGGTGCACATACTTCAAGGACCAAGGAGGTCCAAAAAAAACACCTGGTGACAAGCTTATACTTATCAAGTATGTCTTTAATTTTGGTGTCAGATATAATTTAAGATCTTGACTCTGTTAGAATTATTAGTGTATACCTTGTTTGAAAAAAATATTCTGAAGAATATAAAGTACAGGTATAGGCAGTAAATTTCCTATGTTTCCTACGTTTTAAATACATGTACAGGATGTCCATAAGGTCTGGACACATAGAATAAATAGATATTTTTAGTATGTAATTAAAAGTAATATTATTTTCACTATTCATTTTTATTCAAATAACATCTTCAATATATCATTTGCAATGCAAATCTTAATGCATTTCACAAAACTGGCATGCAATAAATCTACATGGCTGTCAGTTTTGATACATTCAATTTTTATTCGTCGAGTGCATTCAATCAGTGATTTTTGTTGAGTACACTTTCCTTTATACTGTGGTGAACAGGGAGACCACTCCGCATCACCATATCTTCCAATCTAATTGGGAGAATTTCACTCAAGCAATCTCTTACATTCATTGCAAAATGGGCAGGAGTGTCATCCAGTTGGAATGATCACCCTGGAATTCTTTCACTAAGAGTGGTTGAGTGACAATTTTTCTAATTGGATTGGACAAAATTGATGGACATCCCGTACAGTATATTGGTGGGGGAACTGTATGAAAAAACAAAAAAGGAATTTATTTTGAAGTGATGAAGTATATTAGGATATAAATTGCCTCTTTTCGAAATATTTACGACCTTCAAATATAACATATACCAACCTTTATCTTTAGAGTATCAACAGCTATCCTTATATCTCTAGTTCTGTTCAAAGTATTTCTGATAGATTCCTCCAATACATCAACTTCAAATTGCATATTGTCCCTATCTTGTTTCAAGTTGTCAATTTTTCCATTTGAAAGTTTTGAAGCCTTGAGTGTAGAAAGAAGGACATTCGAATGAAAAAAAATTGTAGAGGATAATTCTGATACTCGTAATGAGTGAATACATTACAAACTATTTCCTGTCAAATTTGGTGTACATTATTGCCATGGTGCAATGTTTTATTGTGGGATCAGCATATAGGCTGCATATATATGTAATTTAGTGGTCTATAACCATACTTAAATTTGGCAGGAAACTGGAGGTATATGTTGTAATTGATATATACTTAAAGTGAAATTCAGACAGTTGAATTTTCAAAAATATAATGATAAAGTATGTTGTCTAGGACATATACTGATTAAAAATAAATCACCTCTTTAGTTTCCAGTAAGGAATGTTCTATTTCATACAATTTTTCTACGTTAGAACGTTGGGCTGCATTTTTATTCTCCAAATCAGATTCTACGCTATCAAGCTGAGATTTTTGTTGCTGGTTGTCATTTTCACATTTAACTACTCTGTAACATTATAAAAAAAAAGGTCACTATATTTTTAGCATATATATGCGTAATCAAAATACAAGTATTTGTTTGATTTTTTTTTATATGATATTTATGGCTATTTCAGAATTTGACCAAGGTGCTATCTTGTTTGTATGGGGGACGTCTTTGAAATGGGATGACTGGTAGTGGTGGCCAATGCCAGTGAGCCACTGGAGAAAATTAGTTATTATTGAAATTGAACAATTGGAACTTACCAAGATCTAAAACACTCATAAAAACTTCATATGTATCCAATATCCTACGTAGGTATAATAGGCTAAATGAAGGTAATCTTAGTCATTTCTGTATTCAATGTGTAAAAGAACATTTATTTACCTTGATTCAATATCAGATAAACCTATAGCAAAAACACGTTGCTTCAACTTGTTCGCGGTGTATAAAGCCTGCGTTGCATTGATTTCGTATTTCAAACTCTCAATTGCCTGCTTCAGTTCAGCTACATTGTAGAAAAGTTGTCTTGTTGCATTAGATGCTGACATATGTAAATACAACAATGTATTATTGACAAAAATATCATTACACCTACAATCCTAGTGCTACAAATATGATTCCAACGAATACACATGAAAAATAAACTAAATATTAATGGCATTTCCCAACCAGAAATATGAATGACCTAGAGATACCCAAGTTGAACCGAGTATGTGTTTATGTAACACAAGTTAGATGCCCGAATGATACACGTTCATATTTTTTTTATCTTTCTTTATAAATGTTTTGTGTGTGTGAGATGGGTAAACTGGCACATGTATTTCGGCATGTTTTAAAATTTATTAAAGGTTTTGCCAGTTTCCTGATTTTCACAAACTTTTGTGTGTTCATTGTTTTGTGTATGTCTTTTTTTGGCGCTCCAGAAGTATGTGCATTAAAATGACGCACAACCTGGTACACATACTATGTTCAGATTGTGCGCCATCTTGGTGCACATACTTCTAGAGCTTCCTTTTTTGGGGGAAATCAAAATAAACTTTCACTTACACTATACACCTAAACTTGTGTAAATAATTTCCTGTGAGTGGCAGAAAAATATAGCATTCATGCAAATTAGATATGCGAAGATTCAGTAAACCTTGTGTATTGGTTACATGCTGGCATAAGAGTGAAAGTGGCTGAATATTTATTACCAAATCATTGTGAATCAGTTCTACTATATTATATTCATATTGTTTATCTGGCATATTGTATGATTTAATTACCAGGAAGGCAGCAAAGTAAGTTGTTTTTATTACCCATAAATTCATATTTGAATTTTTGTTTGAGCAAACGGATTGATGAGCTCTGATTTGCTGAATTCATCACGATTTCATCCAGTTCTATCTGATGGTTATTAACATTGTTTTTAATTTGTTGTATGGAGGATGAAATATGTTGCATTTTCTGTTCTACAGATGCTAACTTTTCTTTGTTTTCTGATGTGAATAGTCGTGTTCTGTTCGAAATCTGTCTCTAAATATGCAATGAAAACAAAATTGTAAAGAACGTAAAGAACAGATTTTAATCAGCTACCAATTGAATGTTCTACATGTAATATTAAGTATATCAATAAATGTACACTACTTTGGTTGGTTTAATTAATCTGCACAAAAACACAAATATTTTATGACTGAACTTTTGATTTCATAGGTATAAAATTACATTACTTGTCTCACGACCATCATTCTTGTGCTCTCTACTGCCTGATCAACAACATTAAATTTTGTTTCCAGCATTCTCAGCTTTTCCTCTAAGGTAGTTGTGAAATGTCTGGCTCTTCGAATTTCCATCTTTGTCTCCTCCATAGTCTGCTTTTGTTGACTGACACTGTCTAAGAAATGGTATACAACATCATGAACAACGAAACAAAATAAGGTATAAGCATGAATATGACACAAAACCTCGAAAATGAATATTTAACAAAATAACGCCATCAACATTGTATGAATATTTGAAACGTTGTCTTCACATAGATCATTCTTTTCAAAATTACAGTTTAGACTCAGATTGTAGGGAATAAATTTATAAAATGTCATTCGTTTACACAGGCACAGTTACTACGTTTAAGAGATAAAAACTGTGGGATACCTAAAACTTGGATTTTAGTTACTGTTACCATTCCTATTTTAGCGACTTTGTTCGCTCAAACAACTGTTATGTCAATACCAATTATAACTACCGTAATATCTCGATAAATTTCCATTTGCTCGACCACGAGAAACAATTTAAAATTACGAACTTTTGAATGGTCTAAAATTGTTCGTATCCAGAATATTCAATTATTGAAATTATTCACAAAGTTTCTTACGAATTAATTCACCTTCTACAAACTCAAGCTTTTGCTTCATTAAGTTCTTTTCTTCCAATTCTTGTATACGATGTTGTTTAATAACATTAACATCTGTTGTCAAATCAAGAATATTATTGGCTGCTTCAGTAATCGATGCTTTGCTGTCTTCAGCTGTATACTGAAGAATAGAAATTTCATTTTCTGTTTTGGTTTTCCATGTATTGGTCGATTCTTTTAATCCAAAAAGCGATGCTTTTAAGCCATCTACTCTGTTAGTTATTTCAAGTTGCGATCTTTGACTTTTTGCTTTTTCTATTTCTGAATCCCGCTTGAAATCATCAAGCTCAGTACTCAAGGTGTTAGTTTTTTCGTTGAGTACTGTATTTTTACTATCATATTCTTCAGCTTTCGATCGAATCCTCTGTATTCCGTACATTATATCTGTCATATTTCTTTTAGTGGTGAGTGCATAAAGTCTTATTTGATTTTGAGTATCTCTCAGAGTGTCAGATATCTCTGTCAGTTTTTCTTGAGAATTTTCTTGTCTGAACCTATGCAGTCAAATAAGAAAATACAGAAATGCAGTCAGTCCTATGCAGTCAAATAAGAAAATTTTTAATATGTGCATGCAACGGGTATGACCATAATCAGCCAATGAATAATACATACTTTTCAAAAGTTAGTCAGCCATGTGCTCAGTACACCAATCCGTATTTTGTTTAGGAAGCACGCTAGCTTTATTGCAGCTATTGGTTGTACGTGGTTGTACTACTTCAATTAAATTCAATTGTGGATAACGGTAAAGCAATTTCGAATTTTAAAAGATTCATGATTCTTACTTAATCATCACTACAAATCTAAAAAGTGGGAATGGAATTCCGGATGCCCTGTGAATTAAGGTATCGAAAAATAAATGAAGGTAAAGTATTCAAAGTATCTTTATATGGATTGCTTACGTTATATCACTTGTTAAAGATTGCAGTTCTTGGACATCCAGGTCAATTTCATCCAATTTCCGTTTACTCTCTGTCACTGTTGTCTTGATTTCATCAAATGAGTCGTGTACTTTTGTGACATCACCAGAATTTCTCAGAACCAAATTTCGTAAATTTATTGTGCTTGCCACGTCTTCCTTCAATCTGATTATTGATGGAAGTTCGTGAGAAAAAGTTCGTATCTGAATTAAATGGATAGTTCTCATAAAATATGAAATTATTCTTTGGTAATTTCAGGCAAGGGGTAAAATATCTTGCTCATTGCCGTCTTGCTCATTGACAAGAAGAAAAGGTAATAATTATCTTCCGAAGTGTTTCATCGCAGGGGTAAAATAGAATACAAGCTTGCAGTTTGAGTTTCATTGTAAGGCGAATAAAGTGGTTTTAGATGGATGTCACAGCTATTTGCCCCATTATCCATAGGAGGGAATGTAATACAAAGGTGGAGTTAAAGAAATATGTTACATCCTGAGGTAGTATGGACGTGGTAATTAACATCATTCTGATAATATATTTTCCAATTTTACAAATATTCTTGCGAATAATTTAGCAGGGGCATAGACAGAGGGTGGTTTTAGGGGTTGGCCCCCACCCCTTTAAAATGTAAAAAAGCATCTTTCTGTATCATACATAGAAATTTTTAGGTGCTCGAAACGCTTTTCAAACCCTCATGACTCATGGAAACACACGTTTTCTGGCGTTCGGTCGGACCTGCTATAGCGGTCTCGAACTAACTTGGCAAATAGAAATTTCAGAACTCGCCCCTTTGAAAATTTCTGGCTTCCTGTAATTTAGTGTGATCATATTTTCATTAATATTTTCTTGTTTAATGAATGATAAACAAATATGCGTGTATGTCTGTTCACATTTTCAAAAGATGATATAATTTTGTTCCTAAACTACAATACCTCCGACTCCAGATACGCAATATGACGAGATGTGTTTGCAACATTTGCTAACAGTCCAACATTGTTTTTGACTTGCTTATTTATTCCGAACATTGCATCACCAATCAACAATTTCACGTCATTCTTTGTCAGTGCATTGGTGTCTACTGGATTTATCAGTTTTTCTTGCTTGAATAATTCAATTTCATTCTCCAGATGTGAAATCCTCTCGCTTGTACTTTTATTAAATTGTTGGAAATCTTCTTCATTGACAGCATTTCTCAACTTAAGACCTGAAAGTGAGAGAAAGTTCAAACTGCAATATAAAATATTTTGATTTTGACACTCTAATTCGAAGTTTATTGTATTCATCACAAATTTTATGAATTTAACCAGATTGCGATCCTATCTCATTCGAGATATAAAAATGTCTGGCGTTTGTCATAGATGACCGCCGTGGACTTTGTGCATGTATTGCCAAAATCCGGTTAAAACTGAGATTTTGAAACAGATTTCAACAAGGCATTTTTGCTCTTCCATCCTAGCAAGGCTATGTATAAACATCAACTGATACGCAAGAAGCAACTATTCATGGAAGTCATATTGAATACCGCACCTTCTATATTTCTTATTCTACGTCGAAGATTTATTATGGCAGAATTCTGACGACGACGATCATCAGTCTTCTCTCGTATAGATTTCACAGCAGCTTCTAGTATTCGACGATTTGATCTTATTCCTCCAACTAGTTCTACATTAGCTCTCTGAAACGCAGAGCGGACGACATCGAATCGAACATTAACATTTTCCACCTCCTGAGACCTATTGCTTTGAACTTCAGTGATATCTTCGAGTGAGCTTTCTTGGATTTCAACGCGAGAGAATATTAAATCAAGCCGCTTAGATAATTCATGAATAGAAATGTTCAATTCTTCGTTCTCCATTCTAACATCAAGTTCGCTAGTACTCCCAGATTGATTTAGTACTTTTAATCTTTCTTCAAAGCTATGAAGCTTGTTGCCAAACTCCAACAAAGCATTTTCAATCTCAGAATTTGATACTATTCGCGCAACTTGAGATCTATTGAGATTGGCACCCTCTGTCAGTGGATAGTCTCCATCGAATATTTCAAAGTGGATGAGTTGATCACTGATATCGTCATCCAACATTCCATAATCGTATTCTTTTTGCTCTCCTGCGCTTTCGTTTGATTTAATCAGGCTTTGTAATGTGCCGGCGAGTAGTTTGGTGTTTTTATCTAAGACCTGCAATTTATCAAATCTTTTAGATACAGATGGTTGTGGTTGATACTAAATATCGGTTATTTATTTGAAATGGACATCAGACAATTTTTTAGTTGCAACTACAACGAGTTATGTTAATTTTTGGTAGATTTTATGAATGATTTGATGAGAACTAACCTCGAAGCAGAAAGGATAAAATATGAAATATACGATTTTCAACCTGCACGTGCCAACACAGAAACGAGTATCATTATTTGGAGCTAAGTAAAATTGGCAGTACATGATGACATTTTTCTTCGTAGTTTGTTATTAGAAAGGCTGGTACATGAGAGCTTGAGACAAACTAGCGGTAAGGGTCAATATACTTTCAGACAAAAGTTTCTATTCAGATATTATCTCAATAAATATCTTAATGATGTATGTGACGGAAATAGTTAAAGTAGAAAGCATATAGCAAATATTGGGACAATTTTATTCGAATAAGTCACAAGGTAAATTGATGAGATGTAAAAATACCATTGAGGCGTTTTCTACGTTGGAGATTCGGTGCAGAAGTTTAATTTCTATTTCTGAGACATTTCGAACAAGGTTTTCACAGCAATGGGTTGTTGTTTTTTCGAAATTGTCATCTTCAATTTGCTGAATTTTTGATTGAATGACTTGCATCCTGTTTGAAAGAAGTAAAACGATATTTAGACATTAGTAAAAATGGTAGCACAAATCAAAAAACCTTTTTAAACATATCATAAATAATGTTACCATGGTAATACGTCTGTGCTAAATCTCTTAGGGAAGAGAACAATAAATTCTGAAAATAAAACGTAAGCAATTTTATTCGCTTTCTTACCTGAGATTCTGAGATTCCGAATCATTCAAACATTTCTTTATGAGACTGGAATGGGTTGAAACACTTTCTTTCAAATACCCAAGGCTTTTTGAAATTTCTAATATATCACTACCAGTGTTATCCTTGCTTATATATAAATCATCATCTGTTAAAAGCAATTATATAATAAATTGGATGAAATTTCGAATAATAGAAACGTGTTGTAACGTACAAACGATCTCCGGTTGTTATTGTCTCTGAATACTCTTGCTGTAATACAGATGTTCTAGATTTCGTATACTGCTGTTTCGGGAAAGATGTCAATGTATCTACAAAACCGGCGTTTTGTTCTTATCATTTTAAATGATAATTCATAGATTTATTAGCTGAATGTGCAAAAGCTAATATTTGAGACATTTTTGAAAACGTTGAATTATCGAAACGAAAATCAGTGCTAGAGTACCGAGAGTTTTGCATCATATCAAAATTGCATTTAAGATTTGAACATCAGATCCCTGATTCCTGGACCCTATATGGTCTAGTCATTATTCATTGTGGCATGGACGAGTTGTCGCTTTTTACTTAAAAATATTACTGTGTACATGAGGTGACTTGGACATTCGGCCTCAATCAAATCATTGCAATTTAACCGATACTCTTAGTTTACTTTAATAGTAGTTACGAACACACCATTAGTTCTTAAAATTTCCGAATTGCCATGTTTCATCATTTCAACTTCTCGTTCAATACGATTGAGTTTGTCTTCTGTTTTTTCAATTCGAGTTTCATGATCATTCGTGATATCAAGTATTCCTGCAAAAAACGTGCAGGGTTTGAGGTACAATTCAATATATTCACCGTTTCCTTAATAAGCAGGTTCTTCGTTGCGGATCCAAGCTATACATTCAAATGTTCGATATTTATCATGATGGGTTAGAGGAAAGCCGATTAAATGCCTAATCATAGAGCAAACTACGGCGTCGGAGTGTTTCATGCTTTGAAATGGGCAATTAAGGGCATTTCCTTCAAATAGAAATTTGGACGAACGTAGCGCAGATGCTCGTCAGTTGCAAGCGTATATTTTAAATTTCATTTAAGATATATAATCGAGAACCCCATCCGATGCACATGCCTTTCTCTGCTTTCACGTCATGCTAACAGTGCATGTGCGTTTATATCACTTGAACAGATCATTTGAGAGCAATATACCGAATTTAAGGTATTTTATTTCAAGGAATACGAATATAAATATAAGCTAAAGAAAATTTTTCTACATCGTTCAGGTATTAAAAGTCCATCCAAGTATTCCAGATCTGTGAGTCCCATTTATAGGATCTATGATTTTGATACTGATGGTTTTGCAATAACAATAATTTTGAAACGCTTTTTTCAGATATTGCCCCCAAACCGATACACACCATCGTACCTCGAGCAACGTTCACAAGTAGAGTACTAGCTTGTAGTTACACATTTAGGAAAATATCTTATCGCGGAGCTTCTCAACATGAAAATTCCTTATGAAGCGTACTGATATCCTGGTAATGCGCGACGATGCATATACGCATGCATAAAAATGGGCATTCAGAAAGCATAATATTGCGTTATTTTTACCCGGTTATGCCAGAAGAAAAGCCCATTAGCAATTGAAAATCAAAATGTTCTCTCAGTTCACTACGCTCAGCTGCAACAGGAAACAAAGCTCTCAAAAACGAGGTTCATAAAAACCCCTACAAAATAACCGCCAAGATACAAATTCCCATAAAACGCTATATTTTTGTTTCTCTCATTGATTGGTTTGGTGGAATACTAACACAACCTTGCGCATTACAATTGCACCCTGTCAGTAAAAAAGTCCGTCAATTTACCAAAAGTTCATGGTAACTTCGTATTTCAAAGTATCGTAAAGCTTAGAACTCGCTCGCTTAATTGCAGGAGAATTATATTAAATATTTACCACTAAGCCTTCTTGAAATTGTTGCTGACAATGTTATAGACAATCTACTTTCCAATGAAGATAAGGTTGACTTCATGAGCTTAACATCTGTGTCGATTCTTCGTAATGAAACATCGACTTCATTCATCCATGGCGTACGACCACGTTGCCTCTGAGAAGTAGGATTATACGATCCTGGAATTCTCTGTCGTAGAAAACTTTCCGTTAATACAGTATATATGGAATTCTACTGTATTTATGCCTATTTTTTACAATTATATATTTAAAATTTTTAGTCGAAGACCAAAATTAGTCTTTTGCACAATACATAAAGTGTAAATGAACTATTGAACTGAAGCACTTATGTTTCGGCTCATGACTCTATTGAAATAAAAGCGGCGAACCAAATAGCTTTAAATACCCGTATTTTCCTTTAATCACCACGCCAGCACTTACCTGATGCTGATACACAGGCTGAGCAGGTCTAACGCGAGATCTAGTTTGTCCATCACATTTGTCGATAAATGTCACCAACACTGCAATGGCGATAACGACACTAATTGTGACAGAGAAGTTGTGGAACACCATTTCCACAAGCTCTGTCTTCCTGTCACTCGCTGAAGCTTGCTCATTCGAACTGTGTGAATACGCAGAAGGATTTCTGTTTTCAATTCAGGGACATGGGGCCTGTGAATGCCTTGAAATTTTTTCTCTTATGGTGCGGTAAGAAAGTTGTACTTGTAAAGGTTGAACTGATTATGGGCCAATGAAATATCGACGGTCTGCGTTGTCACAGCACCTTCCATCAAGCATGACATGACATAATAACGTTTTCTAGTGGATGCTAAACGCATTATCAATCGTGTAAACATGCAATCAATGTAAAATTATATTTTGGTTAAAATATGAATAGAGTATCTATTTCACTTCAGGAAGTTTGGATGCAACTATATCAACATGTGTATACATTTACTTTGTGTACATTTCCAGTAAAGTAGGTTATCTTGAACATGTTTGCGTATGGAATGTTCCAAGTGTTGTCGCGCAAGTAATGTAGGTCAAGCTGCTGAATTAATTTGATATATCTCCAATATTTGCACTGTATTTTGGTGGAATATTAAATTTGGTAAATATCTGCATAGCCCTCATAGGTCATTAAAATCGACTTAGACAAATCGATGCGACCAATTGACGTATAATCAAGCTGTGCCCGCGATGGCATGACAATTCATACTTGAAAATGTCTCATTTGCACTCCATTACTAAAGTGTGTTCCTATCCGACAATATAATTTTCTGACTGGGCTATTCGACTAACTAAAATTTAAGCTGGATTTCAATTTTTGTGATCAAAGATTTCTTTTCGGTGCAACATTTTGTACACAGAAAATTGGGTACTCCTGAAGTATGCGCACCAAGATGTCGCACAACTTGAACCCTAACCTGGTACACAACCTGAGTTCAGGTTGTGCGCCATCTTGGTGCGCATACTTCAGGAGTACCCAATTTTCTGTGCCCGCTTACCACTCACCCTTCGTCTTCGCTACAGGTGCTTTCCCGGCTCTCCGAATATCAACTACAACTAGGGTTGCCAACTATGAAAACTCTCCATAAAGGACATAGATTACCGTCATCATTTATTTTGTAACTTGCAGGAAAGAACAATATAAAACAATGAAATACAAATTATATACAAGCTAAAAAGATATATTTAAAAATCGTCATGTGTTTTCATTTAACATCAAGCTCCTATTTTGCAGTTGCATAAGTTTATAATTCTTAAAGTTATTTTTGTTCTGACTCTTTGCTGACTTCAGCAATTGTGGGTCACGCTTTATTTTTTTCGAAAATTCACGACACGTGTCTTCCAAGTTGAAGTAGGCCTATATAAAAAGCTCACTTTTCATTAGTTGTATGGAGCATCTGTTCCTTTCACTGCGCCATTTAGATGACATTACACTGGAAATGCGTTCAAAATAGGCTCAGATTCCGGGAATTGAGAGCACAAATGAAACTATTTTGAAAACATTAACACACTTAAGATTGTGATTTACTGCTTGTTGTTTTGCATTCTGTGAACAGTTTAGTGCTTTGAATCGTGCCAAATTTTTTTTTAATGAGTGCAACTTCAGCAAATAGGTCATCCATATTCAAATTAAGTTTGTCTTTTAGCTTCAAATGCTCTACAACTTTTACAAGTGTCTGATATTTTGGAGAAAGATTATCCAAAAGAGATAATTTTCCAAATGTTGAATTTTCATCTATGTCAAATCTTTTTTTCTATATACGTTATTGCAAAGTTGAAAAATAATCTGAAATCTTCAGTTGCTTCTTGAGCTTCAGCAGCACTCACATTTGCAAGAATAGGTGAACATCATACCCAAAAAATTCTTCATCAGATGGAGATTTTAACCTATTTCTTAATTTGGTAAGAATAATGAAAACATATGATGTTGAAGTTTCATTTTTTCCAGTTTATGAACAGGTAATTTAAATATCTCCATTACATATTGTGAGAATATTGAATACATTTCAATAAGCTGAGGAACCTATGTTGACTCATTGTCAATCATAAGAAGTTCAAGTAATTCTTTGGAACATATAGCTGGTCTGCTCAAGAAATAAGAACTTAAAGCTTTCCAAGAAAGTAAGATTCTTTCGATGCATGGGTGCAAAGATAGCCGCAGAATTTCATGAAATTCCGTCTCTACAAATATATGAAATTCTATGAGAGTTTCTCGTCTTTTTGCTGACATTGAGACTTAACTGTAAATTTTCAAGACGATATTTTCAATGTCAATATTCAAATTTTCTAAAGCAAATTTCAACGTATTTTGTACAATGTGTACACTGCAGTTAGCCATAACAATACCACCATTTAGTGTGCGAACATTAGTATAAAGAGAATGTTTTTCTCCAAAGTTGCAAGTTGCGTTATCTGCACTTAAACAAGAAACTCTTTTCCAATCAAGTTGTAAAGTGTTCATCAAACAAGTGAACATTTCATGCACACCTTCATCTGCACGTTTTAAACTTAACTTAAGGTTTTGTTTGCTTCACCGGATCTGCAAAAGTTGTATTTAATTGTCTTTTTTTTTCAATCATTTTATCGCCGTTTACGCTGATTATGGAGAAATCAAACAAACTGGCTCACATGTTCAAAACTATTTTTTTTATTAAAACAATAAACCACGGGCCGCTTATAATGTGTTTCCCCGAAAAAAAAGACCTACCCTGAAAATAAGACCTAGCCTGAATTTTTAAAATTATTCTAATATAAGCCCTCCCCTTAAAATAGGACCTAGTCAATAAGGCAACATTTTTTTGACCTAGTCGATAGCAAGAAATCTCTCCTACTCGTTTTAATAGATAGATAATCTATGTTTTGCAGTTATTTTGAATAAAACGAGTTATTTATAAGTAAATGGATATCGGTTTTCATATTTTGTATATTGAAAATCTCGTAATTCTCTACTTTGTAATTTTGTTTTTGATGAATGAAAATATAAGACATCCCTTAAAATAAGTCCTAGTGTTATTTTTCGAAAGAACCCAGTCTTATTTTCGGGGGAACACGGTAGGTACTGATAACGAATTTAAGGCTAATCTATCGCATCGTTTGCAGTATAAATTTCAGATTATTGTAACTAAACTAAAGATCCTCAGAAGACATAATGACACTTGAGTTATTGATTTAAAACTATTTTTTGGAAATACAACTAAAAACTGACAAATAACACGCAAAACTACCAAAAAGATGCAATGTTTACAACCACGCTTGAATATCTGTCCGAGCGAAAGAAGTGTCTAAGAGGCGACATAAATTTCAATTGTTACGTCATTGTTAACTTATTGCTGATTTGTAATTGTTACGGAAATAAACAAGGAAACCGATGCTCGAGGAAACATCCATACTTTTATTGCTAATTGGTCAGAATTTCGGTACGATGGGAGTCTTAATTACTAAAGAAACCCTTTCGCACTGTACGGTACTTCCTTGCTGCCTGTCAAATCAGAGACAATGCAATGTCAGAATGTCATGTAACATTTATCGCCAAACATATTATCGCGAAATTTTATTCTCGAAAAATTCGGCTTTTTAAAGCAAAAATAAACAGTAACAGTACAGCAGTATCGTGAGGGTATTCTCGCAACAAGAAAACGTAAACGACATTCGAACGAAAACTTAAAAAATCTCGGCTATGAAATATTTTGAGGAAGTTTTCTCACCATATTTCTGATGTTTTTCTCGCCAACAGCTTTTCTAGCTCAGTATTTGTTGTTTTGTTGTTGATTTCTTTTGACAAAGAACGCTCGCTGCTACCGGTATTCCTGCAATTCTGAAACTGACTGGTACCGTAACTCCAGAACTCAGTAAGTCTGTAAGTTGATGCACATGCTGACTTGGCTTAAAGTTAGACTAGGCCTACCTCTAAAGCAGGAAAGGCAGGTACCGGTATCAGAGTAGATATCAACAGTATTTTTGTTGATGTCAGAATACAGACACTTACAGAATTAACAATCAACATTTATACAAACTGAAATTCCATAATTTGTCTAGCGAGCCATAACTACCGGTATGTAAGTATGTTTACCTGTTCAACTTTAAATATGTAAGTTGCAGAGTCTAATTTTGAAATTAAAGCAAAATTAGTTTTCAAGATAAATTTGGGGAAAGGACAAATATTTGAATTCGGGAATTTTCATAAAATGGGACATCTTTTTACTGCTGTATCTGACATCTGGCTGTAGGCCAGTGACTGTGTTATCGAACGGCAACGCCAACAAAAATAGTGCATGTGTGGTCTGGTGGTGCATTGGTGTCTAATCCAAGTTTGGAGCAATATGCATAGAATATTTCATTTTTGCTTGCAGCTACTAAAAACAGAAAAATGAAAAACATACATTTTTGTCATTTTTCTCAAAACAGCTTTCTAAGTTTCGTTTTTCGGGCTAATTAAATCCCATCCTTCTGTTATTGGATTGTGACTGATAAGAAAACATGACAGCATGAGGTTACAGGGTTTTGCTCTGCAGAGAAATTGTATTACAGTAATTTTATGTTGCTTGATTTGTCGGAATACAGTAGACTGCTAGTAGCCCATAGTACCAAAGAGAGCTAGATTGCTAACTCCATCCGATTTAATAACTTTCTGTGTGATTAACTTGCCATTTTTATGACAGATGTCTAGCAAGGAAATATAAAACATAGAATATGAATTCTGCTCATGTGACGGAAGCGGTTCCACAAGATGGGTCTAATCCCATTCTGTTCATAAATTTCAATCAAGATTTCACTTCACTTTCAATCGGTTCAAAATATGGATATAAACTCTATACTGTCAACTCTGTTGATAACTTGGAAAAAATATATGATAACGCAAGTGAAACGACTGATGTATGCATAGTAGAACGGCTATTTTCTAGTAGTCTTGTCGCTATAGTCAGTACAAATGCACCAAGAAAATTAAAGGTATGATTGTGTGAGAATACGCCTTATTACATGGAATCAAAAAATTACATTATCAGAATTCACAATTCTTCATTCATAATACGGCAATAGTGTGATAATAACCCAATATTTTACGAGCATTGTTTTCTGATTGATTCTGGTGATATTTTTTGGTCCCATTATTTTTGAACATAATTGAGCACTTTCTGTAAGAAATTATGTGCATCACAATAATCTCTCTATCATATTCTTTATAAAAGGTATGATTTGATTTTAAAAGAATGGCTGTTTTTTTAAGAATGACAAAAGCAATTTAATCAACTGCTAGAAAACTGTAGGAACACTTATTCATTCTTGCATGAAGTATTTGCTTCCATATTTGGGTGATGCTCTTTCAGCTACACTTGAAATTCTGATTAAACGCAAACATAAAATATTTGATTGGATCAATTTTGTATTTAGCATGTTTTACTATTTTCATTTACTTTATTCTTCCGCACATTCAGAATGATCCTTATTTGTCTGCGCCTTTCCCTGATTTCTCTTCCTACCAAACACTTTTTCTAGTCAATGTGATACATTTTAGTACTCATCCAATCATTCTCAAAATGTATAAAGTAGCATGTCAGCAGATCAGTGATTAATTTTTGATATGAGATGAGTGTTCGTAAATTGTATTCAAGTCGCTCTATCATATATATAAGATTTTTTCATTTATAAAGAATGTTCATTTTTCATCTCTAAACTATTTTGACCTAGGTATGCCATTTCAAGAAAGGAACTGAGATATGTAATTACAGTTATTCGAATACAATACTTGCTGTGAAATTAAATCGTTTAAGACTGGTTGTTGTGTTGGAAGAAAGCCTATATATTCATAATATCAAAGACATGAAGGTTTGTATATTGTATCAAAATCTTATATCCATAAATATCTATGCTTGTTACTGTTAACTAAGAGTACTCTTATACTACTTATTGAGTGAAATTATCTGTAAGACTTCTTGAAGATATATACTATCACATGTGTAAAATTCAATTTTGTATCAAAATTGCGATCTGATTTTATACATATTGTGACATAAACTGATATGTCCTGTATTCTGTATACCTGTCATTGACTGAAATGGCATTTTCACAGCCTTTCTGAGAAATCAATCCATAAATCTGGATATGTATCATGAAAATTGAATATTGTTTTGTTTTTGCAACACAGGTACTTCATACAATAAGGGACACACCACCTAATCGAGATGGTATATGTGCACTCAGTGTGAACAATAATGATGTATCATTCCTTGCATATCCTGGTAGTACTCTTGTGGGAGAGGTTCAAATATTTGACATCACTAATTTGAAGGTTAGTGACTTGATGGTATGAGTAAAATGAAATAAAGGCTCTGAGCCACCTCTGATTCATAAGCTAAAATGTGATTGCTGTTTAGATTGCGTTGTGTTTGTCATTCATGATAAGTGTTTACTCATTTAGTGTTGACGGTTCACCAGATATTTCATATTTTATATTTATTGAGACAAATGATTGATATATTGACTAAATTACTTTTCTGAACTTTGTTATCTAATTTCTATAGTTATTTAGTTTGAATAGTGTTTCTATTTTGCAACATGTCTGTATGTAGCCTAATTTTCAGCAGAATCCATGATTTTGACGATTGTTGAGTTAATGAATTGAATTTTTGGCGTTTTCAACAGTTCTTTTTATCAAATATATGATGAAATAAAATTTTTAATTTTATTCTATCATGCTGAATCAATACTAGATTTGTAATATTTTCAATTATTGTATTTCTTATACTGACCACAGGCAGTGATGACAATCCCCGCACACGACAGTCCTCTCGCTGCCCTCACCTTTGACTCTTCTGGTACCAAACTTGCAACAGCTTCAGAGAGAGGTACTGTTATTCGAGTTTTTTCTATTCCTGATGGTCAACGACTTTTTGAACTCAGAAGAGGAATGAAGAGATGTGTTCGGATATCATCTTTAGCTTTTAGTACGGACTCTGTGTTTCTTTGTGCATCTAGTAACACAGAAACGGTGCATATTTATAAACTGATCGATCCGGGGCAGGAGAAAAATGCAGTCGCTGCAACAGAAGATGGAAGTACATGGATGGGTTACTTTAACAAAGTTTTAACCACATCCGCAAATTATTTGCCAACTCAAGTTTCGAGTGTACTGAACCAAGGTCGGGATTTTGCCACTGTGAAACTGCCAGTATCTGGAACACGAAACGTATGTGCCATTGTTAGTATGCAGAAACTACTGCGTGTTGTTGTCGCAGGATACAATGGGTATTTGTACATATACAGCCTTGATGCCCAGGAAGGAGGAGACTGTTCTCTCATTCGTCAACACAGTGTTCTGCAAAATCAGTCTGATGATATGGAACAGGGAGCAACAGCGACCCCTGAACCTGATCAAGCTGGCGAATCTCCTGACTCTAACAAATATCAGCACTTGCCAACTACCTCAATACAGATTGAAGCCTCTGCATCACATAACATAGTAGATGACAAGTTATCATAGAATGGTATTGGAGGCAATAGAATGTTCAAAGATACATCAATGTAATCAGATAAAGACAAACTCAGGAGTTGCCAACACCTGAATAAGCCATGAGTACAAATTTAGTACATGGAAGATTTTTAAGAATAAGCAATCCTCTCATAGAAATATATCTTTGTCTTTTACAAGTTCGAAAATTCTGATGAAAAGTCATGGTAATGTGCCAATATAAAATCATATAAAGTCGGTAGATATTCATTATATATTTTGGGGGAATAAGTTTCGATGGAGGTATAAATGACAAAATATTACTCACAGATCGCAGATTTTCAACCTAATTTTCAATCATTCCATCTTGATTGGTTATTTCAAAGCTTTTAGCTTTGATTAGCTTTTATATATCTCTGTCCGATAAATGAGCAGTAGTATTAATAAAGCTGTGTGAAATTTTGCTTTTTATTTCTAATTCATGTTCCTTTAAGTCTCTGTATTGTAATATTCTCTTTGCTCATATTAATTGTTTTTATTTGTGACTTCATATTGTAATTGTACACTTCTGTTGATAAAGAAAGTCTGGTGACACCAATCTTCCCGATTTTAGAGATTCAGATGTCTAGCTATTATAATTGGCTATCAGTAATTAACCCATTTAATTATATTATTGTATTTGTTCGTTATAATTGTACAAATGATAAGTTTTGTATATTTATTGATTGTTTAAAGTAAAAGTGCAAATAAATCATTTGTAAATATTAGCATTTGTTTGTGCCCAGCGTGTAGGTGGTTACAGAAATGCCAAAGAAGGTACTCCTGAAGTATATATATGTAATACAACAGTATAGGGCAATTTACCGTATTTCACAAGTGTCAAGACCTAAATCAGAAACTCAAATGTGCCCTGTAATGTTATCATAAGAACTATAGACGCGTTGTTAGGGTATCGATGACTATAAGGCTCACAGGTAAGATAAGCGGAGTAATCTAAGTGAGTGCACCCAACTATGAGGGTAAAATGCTAACAGAAATCTCGGGAACCTGCTCTGGAACGCGTAAACACACACAGTTGTAAATACATGACTGAAACCTCATTAACACGAAAAACCATTCGGGCGCCTTTACTTATCACACTAAAATACATGCAGTATCCTATACTATAGAAAAGTCCCGGAAAAGTCTGTTTCCTGTGTAACCGTTCTAAGCTTGATTCTCAAAGAGAGAAAGGAGCAAATGTCGACGACTGTTGTGCCAATTTGTCACTCTTTTGTAGAGTACCAGTATATAATGATTCCATAGTAATGTCACGTTCAAACTAAACTTGTTCCCACAGAAGACCAAAAACAGCTCTTTGCTATAATTCCAATACAGTAATTGAGTTTCACGTACAGCTACCATCCCATGTAACGTTTTCCTAGTATTTTGCATAAAATCAAATTGACACTGGTAGGCCTAACCATCCCGAGTCTCACCATCTTTAAAATTAAAATCGTCTGGGTAGGTCCTATACTACAGAGTAAGATATTTCATTTCCATCATGCATGAATCAATGTACGTTATTAAAGCACAAACTGATTTGAAAGGTTTATAATGACATAAAACATCATGACAAAAATGTAGGTATGATTCATAGCAATAAAAGAGGTAGTCGAGTCAGCGACGCTCAATTATTGATATTTTAAATGTAACATGTCATTATACAAATAACAGAGTATCTTCAATAAACTACTGAAATATTGCCACTCACAAAATACTACTCAATGTTAACTAGCGTTAGCGCCTCTCCAATTAGAGAATCAGGCATTAGCGCCTCTCCAATCAGTTCGAAAAATGCCCTCGCCCAAAAAAATTTTGACGTTATTTCAGGCGATTTGTGGCATCGCTGACATCGCTCTCTCTCCAACGGGGGCTCCAGCTAACCTGACTCTCTACTTTTTCGTATAATTTTGGTCGATTTAACACCTATACTGTTCTTTTAAAACTGGGTTGTTCAAATGGAGATTGGAACAATCCCTACTCCTCATCAGGGCCCGGTCATTTCAAAAGATAGCCTATATATAGTATATCGATTTCTTTTCGCATTATTAGGGTAAAAAACTGTTCAATTACTTTAAATTAGCATGTTTACTTTTTGAAGGGAGTAGAGCGGGGGAATATAAAGGGCAATCAAAGTGCCATAGCTAACATTATGAGATAACGATATAAAGTTGTCAATCAAAGATACACGGATTAGAAATCATTCACATTTGAATCATTCGCGACCCCATCGTTGACGACCCATGATATAACCAACAATAGGTAATTTTTTTCCACCGCTCTTCTCGGGCTAGTAGCACGAGAGAAGCCGAAAGTATAGTGTCAAAGCCCTCGGATATTGGCCACGTTGTTGAAGTAAACCTAAGCAGGCATTAGGAATTGTATATTCAGTCATTGACCACATCCAATAAAGGCAATTTCGTTTACAACAGATTTTATGAATTGATTTTCGTGTATTCCATATAATATACAAGTATACAATATTTACAATACCTTGTGCTGACAATGCCACAGACCTACAATGTAAATACCGTGAAAGTTCAAAAGCCCACTGTAGGATTACCGAACAGTTCCGTACATACATCAATTTATGATATATAAATATTACAGTCAGAAGAATTCCACTGAATTTATTGAATTTATGTTAGTATGACCGATGAGATTTACAGAGACAACAACATACGTGTCATTATTGTATTGTTCATCATGAAGAAATCGGCGTCGACTTCTAGTGTCGAACAAGCGATCAATTACACTAAAATATCATATAACATTATCTCACCTTTATTTGCGATGAAGATTATTTATTTAGGCATCAAATCGATATTAAAACTTATTATTGATTCAAAAGCGTTGAACAGTGTAGATATTTTGCCTTGAGTATGCGAAAGAATATACTGTATATATTCATGATATTTTCCATGGATACAATAGTATTGTATATAGTGCGAGCTAAAAGTTAGGTCAAGTTTGGATACAATTTACAAAATGAATTTTATTAATTTTTGCCAGTAGTTTAGTCTTGACTCGAGGGTAGGGATTTGTTCAAAAAGAATTCTCTTAAAACAAATGTTTAAATCAAGTGTTTTTCGCCTGTATTTTTCAAAACGGCTGTACTATTTGATTTTTTTGTATTAAATAGGTTGAAGGAAAAAGGATGTAAAAACTTGCCAAGCGCTTCTTATTTGCAATAAATCCTTCGAAACGTCACAACTATCGACTAGGCACATACACACCTTCTCAAGCTGTATGTAGTTCAGTGCGACCGCAAACGTGGTAGGCGCAGTAATACGTAACCGATAAGCAATTACGTGAATGACCTTGCGACAAAACCACCTTGCGAAAATTGAAATGTGATCTAATGAATCAGTTTATATAACTTTGAAAACCCCATCACTTCAACCTTGAGAACAAAGTATGCCAAGCCTAAAATAACCGTAATAATGCCTTTATTTTATGAGAAAAATGTCAATACACAAACTCGAAATCCTTATCGCGTCATCATAACAGATTAGTTACAGCGTCTTTGCACCAGAGGACTTACAATTAGCAGGGCCTACCCTAGCGCGTCTCATCGTTTAAATCAGTATATTGCCGCCGATGTAAGTTTATTCTTCATTATCGTAACGCACTCGTTTTGCCGAAGGATGCCCTTGATCCAATTAATTTTGTAGTAGGCTAGTGAGTTAAGTTTCATGATTTTTCTTTCTCAAAACCTCTCTCTGGTATCTCGGATAAACAATCCGGCTGAAATTTTATGACTTTGGTGTAGATACCATCGTGGCGAAAAACGTACGCAATGGAAATAAAAGTCAAAACAAGAATTGTTACCCACATTTTTGAAATTATAATTTCGGCAGCGTATGCAGCTGCCAGAACGCAACGTTTTGGCGTAGTTTAACGCGATGCAAGCGGTATTTCAATAAAAATAAAAAATTGATGTTTTTTTAGAATTGATAAAAAACAAAACCCTACTCGAGGCATGCTCTAGCTAGGTTATATTCGATTTAGAGCAGAGATGGGCAAAGTACGGCCCGCGGGTCAAATACGACCCGTTGGGTGATTCAATCTGGCCCGCCTGACGCTGCCACATTCAAACTGAAACCAAATTTTGATGTTTTAGCTAAGAATAGCTCGAGGAATTTGTTGAGATTGCGGTTAAGTTCAGTTTTGGCACGAGGCCTATTGTATTCCACTGTTTTCAACTAGCAATAATCGCACCTCGGATAAACCTCATTGGTTACGATACCGCCACTGCGCAAAGCTGCTTTTGTAACACTGTGAATATTGTTCATAAAAGGTAACTTTTTACGTCATACATGGCCCGCCAGTCTAGATGGGCAAAATTTTTTTTGACCCCTGTTCCAAAAACCATGCCCACCCCTGCTAAAGAGTATATAGTCATGCAAAATTATTATCATATGCCGTAAGCTTCAATCTTTTCGTGCTGCTAATTTCGATATTGTAATTGTAACGTTTAGGTTCCTGGAAATAAAAAGAAGGCAAGATGGAAATCATAAAATGTTCACCGTTTCCTGCTCTTGAATCCTGAGTATTGCACAACTTCAGATGAAATGTTTTTAAAAGCTTTACCTATAGTTAACACTTGCATAACAGTATGAAGCAATGGTGATGATGAACGGGTATAGTATGTGTGGTAACAATCAATTCACAAGTAACAATCGTCTCAATTGGATATTACTGGGTTTGGATTGGCATCCTCAAGATAATTGGCCGCCTGAATTTTCTCCCTGGGAAACTTTTTCTTGGAGAAAACGTTCAAAGCGACAAGGTGATACAACGGCAAGGAAAGCATCTAAAGTTAAAACGCACACTACAAATGCTAAAAAACTCCGCCGTGGTGAGTGAGCTCATGCAATTTACTTTTTTTCTGCTTCTTTGAGTGTTTTCCAATTTTAATTCTGAAATGTCCAAGAGTGGAGTACGTTTATATTAAAAATTGAAATTAATTCAAGAACTATAGAGTATATAGAGCATATATATCTGCACCCACTGGTTGCTGCAACTTTCCTCTCATTTTTATAGCTCCAGCTGTCACGTTTCCATGTTTTCGGCAATATTAAATAGCTAACCAAACAGAAATAATTTACTTCGGGTTTTTTTCGGCATGTGAGACTCGGCTATTTATGATCTGCAAAGCTACATACAATCCTCATCTATTATTTTTGACAAATCATGCGTTTGATTAACGTAACGTTTGTAAACTGGTTGCAGGATCATTCAAGTTCCATTCTGAAATCGCAGAATATATTCGAGAATATCGAGCTATGAGAATTCAATTTATATCGGAATACAGAAGTTGTGCATGCCATGAACCCTACACATTAAAAGATGTTGAGGCTGCTTATGAAACATTGCAAAGGTTCCCTGGACAACGGTAAGATTTTGTATTTGACTCGCATCGCATTTTTAAAGTTATTTTTAATGCATTTTTTTATCAAAAACTTGTGTTAGTAGATGGCTGCATATACTATAACTTGAATGGAAAATCCAGGGCATTGCTGAAAAGCTTGTGGTTTATGCACATGGACGTGAATGACAATGCCAAATTGAGAATAGTTGTCGTAGTAATCGGGAATATGTTGAAATAGAATCAGATTTGCACTTTTTCAGTATATTACATATAAATTTATTTTTCAGTATTACTTTAACGAGGAAAAAGAAAATCCCGGAAAAGAATGAAAACGGGTAATTATTAATATCAATTCGAATTACTTCAAAACTAAGCGATTTGACAGAATGAGCTTAGATATGAGTATTTTTCTGTCTATCATAAATCAATTTATTCAGAGTAAATTCAACAGTTCACAGAAATGAACAATGTCAAGAGCAGCAAACAAAAAAGTCAAATGAAGAAATTTTTTTATTTGATATGAGCAAACGCGATTCTGCCGGTATGGACTTCAATTTTTAATGTGAAAAAAAAAACGCAAACGAAATTTCAGTTTTTGTAATTTTGTGAAATTGTCTTGCCGTTTACTATTAGGTATTTCAACCAAGGTAGACTGCTTTGTTGATCAATACATTGGACGACATTTTTTGGGATTGAAAACTCAGTCTCAAACTGACGTTGCCAAGCAAGAACACTGTCCTGTTGTGGAAATAATTATTCCAGAGGATCACGTGGTTACTCGAATTTCGTCTGTGACACCGTCATCGCAGTCCTCAATAAAACTGCCACACTGTAATAGCGAGTCCTCTACACCGCTTGTACGACGTAGTTCGGCCTTTTCTCACGGGACATCTAGTTCGATAGGTAGTGGTTATTCAAGAATATCAACATCGTCGAATGTCACAAATCCAAGTACAATGGGTGTGTGCGACATTTGCCCATTTCCGCGAAGTGTTTGCACGCCTAAAGCGCCACTTCTATCCAATGATAAAAACAACATTATCAAGCAAGTCAGCAAGTGGAAAGAATCAGAAAAGCCCGATTTAAATGAAAAACAAGCAATTCCCTGGAAAACTTTAAAATACCTGGGGTATAACCCATCTATGAGAAGGTACTTGCATGAAATATACACTCCAGTCGGAAGAAATCGTCTCAGAACACCTTTGTCTTTGTCAAGTAAAAAGTGTTTTCCCACTGCTAATGAAGCAATAATAGAAAACAATGAAGATCAAGATAAGCAAAATACAATTTTATCATCTGCAATGGCAAAGACTACGATTTTCAAAAAAGACAGCAATTCTTTCCCGCATTTTCAATCGGGCAGAAGAACTTTTCTAATTGATAAACCTGTGAACCAATATACGGGTGAACGGAAGCCAAAGCTCGCTATTATTTCTGCATGTCAGACGGTTGTAAAACCGAAGGTAACCGCGAAGAGATTGGTTGCAAACTAGACTTAACTGGCCGTTTCACATATATATTCCAAATGCACGGCAACATCGGTGACACTGCCACTAACTTACTCGATTATAACGATGATAACCAAAGGTGCTTTGCAACAGGCTATTAATAGAATCTTTCTTAAATGAATTCACTCCATTATTCATTACGTTTTCATGTCATTGCCGAACCTAAAAAAAATACAAATAATAATTCGTAGTTACATGGCAGAGAGGACACAACATAATGTACCATAGAATTGAATAATATCTCAGTCAATTCTGATTCTAAAATGGCTTTTACATCACTACAATCAATTCTGAAGCGTACAGATGATTTAGGACTTTTATTCATAACTTAAATTAAATTTATCATCAAAGTTTTATACTAGTCATTATTTTATCCTTACCATTACCAATACATCGTCGTTATTGAGAGTTTTATATACATATATCATGACATAATTAATCTTTGAATGCCGTTTTTAACGATTTGGAGACTAAATTTTAAATAACGGAGGCTTTTTATATGGTGTTGATGCCCCGGGAGTTCAACTGCCGGAATTATTAATATATCAGTATCTAGCAGTGAACTGAATTTCAATATTTAAATATATCCAAGTCAAGAGCAAATGGGCCACATCAGCAGGATATGAGAATATAACTTCGTGCCAGACCGCAGCCTCAAGTGTAATCACCGGCATAGGTCGGATATAATGAAACGTTTCAGTTCGGTATATTGCTATTGCGTGGACGTGATTTATGAAAGGAACTGTAATTAACCAGATTGCTTATAACTCCGTGACATCAATCAATCATGCCCTTTTTCGCTTGCCACCGGTAACGGCGGCCCACGCAATGGTGTTGTATTACATCAAAATGAAAATTCCAACAGCATGACGACCGCTGACTTAACATTGAAAATGATATCTGAATAAAGTTATCATCTATAACTTGCTGAGTTCATAACCTATATATTGTAAAGTTCTTAAATCTGCTGATAGCGAGTTCGATGTAGTTTAGACACTCATTAGTCATTCGACACAGGTATTCCCATTTTTATCAAGCGGCAACTAGTTTTTGAATTTTTATCATACATTTTCAACTTATACGAACATCTTGTTGGTTGGTTTATTCAAACTGATGACAGTTATGTACTTTGCCCATGATCTCATTCCTTATCGGATCTCCGCTCTAGGAAACTTTTATACTCTTTCTGCCTTCTGTGTGTTTGTGTGTCCGGTTGTAGCGTCTGAATGTCTGGATCGGTCTGGATGAAAATTATCACGTGAGTTATTCTGTCAACCTAGTAATGAGCATTTAATTATTTATTGCCCGCAGTATTACCCACTAACCACCCATGCAAGAATGCCGACGAGACGTACGGCGCTCAAAACGAACTGGCAGTTTCGAGAGTACGCCAGGGATTTTTATTCTGGTGGGTCAATTTGTAAAATTGATACACGAAAATATTCACAATAACATTCTATTTTAGTGGGATGCCTGTCCTTGATTTTCCTCACTCAAAGCTTCAATATTTCGCTTGAAATTACGACTTTTAGCTGAACACAAGATTCAGAATTATCAGTCGTTAGACACCTGCGATGCATCGGGGTTAAAAACGGAATAAAACGCAAATACCGCATGCGAGCAAACAATGATAACGCAAAAATAATGAAATAAAATGATAATAACGAAACAATGAAAATAAAACACAGCGAATATAACTACATGTTCCGCACCGAATGTATGGTATTTTTTTCATTATTTTAACATTTAAAAACCTGAACCTGTTTTAGAAAAAATGTTCAGGACGCCGCGTGCCGTATAAAATCGCGTGACATGATTGGCAGTTGGCACGCGTGCCCGTGGCTGCCGACCCCGTATCGCGTGGATGGTAACGAATTGCTGCAGGGCGGGCCTCAAGTATCAGCGAAATACTGAAGAAAGCAGACATCGCATGTGATTGCAGTAACACATATTGTGCTGGTAGTGAGGTGAAGATGTAAATAATTTATGACGATAATTATAAAAAGAGAAGCTGGTGTACTGACAGGAAGCAGGCCAGTTTAAATGAAACATAATGAGTAACTACAAAACTACAGCAACCCCCCAATATAAATTGAAAGGGAAAATATTTAATAATGATTCGAGTCATCTCGATAAAGCTGAAAACATACTTTGCTTTTCGTAAGTATTTACTAGATATTTATCGATACAATCCATGAAACCTCTTGTTTTAATTTCACGATGTCTTCCAAGTTCCAATGACTCTTTATAAAGGGTTATCTTCTTGTTTTAATATTTTTTTGCGGTATACTTACTCAATTCCATTCATTATTGAACATGAACGATAGGTTTTTACATTTAAGTGACTGGTTCATTTATTTTTATTTCACGATAAAGCAGGAAGAATAATAATAAAAGGAAAAATGTGACACAGTGAATTAATAAAGTACATTTTCAGATAATATAAAAAAGAACAAAACAACCGCTGTATTAATGAATTCGAACGTTGGAGTCGTTTCTTCAATAAAGCATTGTCGTAGTCGGGTATTGTTTCAGACTCGGATACGGTTTGTCTGTTTGCTTTATATTGTTGGTCAATGAAAGATATAGGATTATCAAGCATAAAATACATAAAGTGAAAAAAAGTTTTTTCAGTCAATAGGCCACAATACTAAAATTCGTCCATTCGGTTAGAACCGCCAAAGAAACAAAGAAAAATAAACTAAACATAAATAGTTCCAATACTGCAAGAAAAATCTCAACCGTTAAATTTCATTGTAAACTCCTAGAGTAAAGTAAATTTTGCAGGTTTAATTATATATATATTTTAAGGAAATAAATAGATCAAAGAAAGAAGATAATTGCAAAAGTAAATAGACAAGATATAAATAAATTATTCAAGTATTGTTTTCAAATTAAACCACCTTCGATAGTCACCGGGCATCGAAAGCCACAATCAACGACTAAATGTTTCAGTTCTAACTCTCCATTAGGTTCATTCGATTTTGCAGCCATTTTAAACAAGAAAGTTATGGGATCACCGTGAATAAAGATGTACAGGTAAGAAAAATGCACCAAGACATGAACCATTGTCGCATAAGCTAAGCCTGGCTAGAATTCTCTTCCGTTACGTTTGTGAATTTGCTTTCGGATACATTGTTATTTGTTATTACTAAAGACTGATCAACTTCAGTTTTACCTGGAGTAATAGAGTTTGTGTTATTATTAATTTTAGTAGAAGGGGATCGCGACATTTCCACCAATTCAACTTCGTCCTTTTTCGTTTTAACTTTAAATTTCCCTGTTTGTGGATTGAATTTTAAGTTTTTCCCTACAACGGGTCTGGATTCTTGTGAAGAATCTTTTATGTTTATAGAATCCTCAGATAAACGAGCAACATCAGATTTAGATTTTTGTAAAGTCTGATGCCAAGCGTTTGTCTCTGAAGAATGGAAATGTTTTTCGCTTCCGGAGTCTAAACTATCCGGTTTAGGAAGAGACACAGAAGAATTCTGTGTGTTTTCGTGTTTTTCCATATTCGTTTGCTTTTTGAGTGGTGTCTGAAGTATATGATCTGACTCTTGAATATCCAGGGAAAAATCTTGATCATCAGTTGATGCCTTTTCTTCAAGCGCATGATCGTTACGTATGACTTGTAGAGAAGTTGATGGTCGCAGTTGATCGAGTTTGGTTTTATTAGTTCGTACATCCATTTGGGCTGATTTAGCTCGCCTTTCTAATGAGGTTTTTCTTGGCTGCGGTGAATTTAATATATCGTCCACCTTTCCTGAAGCTTCATTCATTTTAATCGTTCCATTATTCATGACAACATTGTCGTGACAGGTTGAGTCAGCATCTTGGTCACTTCTTACTTCACCGTTTGTTGACGATGTGTTTACTTCATTCAATTTTGAATCGGATTCGCTTTCTTTAATCATTCGAATAGGTGATGATGCTAATTGTTTTTTGATGTCAGTTTGACTTGCATCTTCCACGTCAGGAGGGGCGTTCAAAATATTCTCATTTTCTGGAATTTGGGGTATTTCGATTTCGGCTACATCTCCATCTTTTGTAGGATATATATGGTGTTCAACTAAGGCTTCGTTTGGTTTAATATTATTGTTTTCAGTATGTAATTGTTGTATTTCATCGACACTAGGCAATTTGCTTATTCCACTTATTTCAGTTTTCAGAGTTTGTTTCTGAGATGAAGCTGATATGTCACTAGATAGTGAAAATGAATTGGATCGAGTAAAATCCGATGACGAAACATGGCTGAATATATCGGAGCTCACGTCGATTGCTCCTCGCCGTCTCTTTCCGTGGAAACCTCTCCACGCCTCCTGTGAAACAAATGATATTTTGATTCAATGAACGCTAAATACATGACAAGACTTTGTTGTAAAATTTCTTTGCATTTACTTACGACCAAGCGAGACCTAATTGTCAAAAATGCAAAAGGACAAAGAATGTACCTGTATGACTTTTGCTGCTTTTACTCTTCTGCGTAAAACAAGAGTTGTTGTCTCTGCTTTCAACGTTTTTCTATTTGGGAAAGACTTCAGTAACCTGGCTTCGGCTTCCTCTCGCATTTGATCAGATATTTCAACTTCACCCATAATGCGTTTTACAAGAGCAAATAAAACGTCCAGACAATGAACTTTATCTCCATTGACTATGGGCAGATTGAGCGCTGCAATTTTAATCTAAAATAAAATATAATGATTGATAGTGTAAGCTAAAGTGGTCCGGTTTGGGTACAACCTTAGTAGTTTTCAATGTGTCTGAATACTTTCTCAATTGAAAAAGAGAGCAAGCAATGCTCAAATATATGGACACGAAGACCAAAACTAAGTAGTATTAATTAAATCTTTAATAGTAACTTTAAAGTGAGAAAATATTCACAAAAACAGTAACAACAACAAATTACCAAAACAATCAATGAGTCCATTTCGTGCCCGAAAATACAATAATAGTAGTATATTATACAAAGCAACCAACCTCATTCGGTTTTGCGAGTTGAAACGGTGGATGTAAACTGTGTAAGAGATTGGATAGCTCTGCAATTGAAACGAACTGAGAAGCTTTAGGATCGTATCTTCCCCACACCACATAGAAATACTCGAAATCATCCTGACCAACGCCAGATTCTTCCTGCTGAAATATTTCGTCGAAATTTTCGAGGATGATGGCAATGTACATGTTGACAACAACTGCAAATAAATGAGATATTAGTGACGATAAAGAGCACACCTGCCTATTGATAAATGTAAAGTATACATGTTTAAAAAATAATAAATTTAATATTTAAGCGACCTTTTGCAAAAGTCAATGTTATGGTCTCTATGCCGACCTAATGATAAGCTGTACGAATGGTCCCGAATGACCTTATCATAACGTATAAATTCTTTGCAGCGTTTGATGGACAAGTCACGATTGTGAGTCGTGTCGGTTCGCATCGAGTTTAAATTTATCAAATAATATTTTTGAATGAATAACGTGGTGCTTATTTGGCTGAATTATTTCAAAATCATATTTGGAGCTCAAATTTTGAGTTTTAGGTCAGGCCAAAAAAATGTGGGTTTATAGGCACAAATTAATGAGAAGAATTAAAATAACCAAAACTCGCACAAGTCGACAATTTATGAAAAAAATTTTCCTCACCAAATTCAAAAAACTCACCCAAAAATACTAAAAAGATGTAAGCTACAAAATATATGATAGCAAAATGATATTTTCCGCAATCCGCTCCATCGCAATCAGTGTCGTTCATGAGTGGATCCAATACGTCATTCCATCCTGCTGACGTCATCAAACGAAATAGAAGCATCATAGAATTCCCGAAAGTGCGGAAGTTAACGATATCGTTGAGAGCTCCTCGTAATTTCACGTCCATAAAGAATGACATACCTATGAACCAAAATCGAGCGGAGGGGATATTTAGTAAAAGAGAACGAAGAACTGAACGGAACACCAAACGAGTAAATGTGATAGATTAACTCATGAACTAACTAAATAACAGTTTTTACACCAAAAGAATAAGAAGCAGTATAATTTCAGAAGAAAAACAGTTGAAAATATATCATTGAATATGAGTTGTCGATTTATTGCTGGACATATGCTCCAAGATCACCCAGAGCTGGTATACGTCTATCTAATATATACCGGTATATTTGATGAAGAAGTACAAAAGAAATGAAATATAATATCCAAACTACTGAAAACGTCGATTGAAATATATAAAGTAGTTTCATTTCTAGCTCGATAGAATAAAGCGCGTACCTAGAATAGCGAAGATGATCATGAATACTCCTAACAATACTGCAATGTTGAAAAGAGCTGGAAGTGAAATCATCAAAGTAAGAATCAATCTTCTGATTCCTCGAGCTGCACGAATCACACGCAATACACGAAACACACGGAATACTCGCACCACTCTCAACAATGTTGGAGATACCAAAAATGTCAATAATTCTTCAAGAATGAAACCTGTATGGAAATACATTTATGAGCTGAATAAAAAAAAAGTTCGCATTGCAATATATAAGATTTGGACAGAATAAAGCCCGATATTGGTTCGCTATTGCACATGAAGCAAGTGTATATAATTTTATATATATTATGCGGGATATTGTACTTTGTTTGCGAATCAGTAATGTTTTAATGCAACCAGAATATGAATTGCAATGCAGCCAGAATTTTAGTTAGTTAAAAAGTGCCAATACGAATCATTTGCGACGTACTTTGGTAGCCAAATACAGCGTTTACCTGTTATAGAGAGTATAACAACAACGAAGTCAAAGACATTGAAAGGATCTCGAAAATAGTAGAATCTTGTTCCAATAATTTTCAACGTCGCTTCAATTGAAAATACCGCAGTGAAGGTAATGTCTACGTATCTAAGCACTGTTGTCCATGTTTTTGACATCTGATAATGTTCCATTGCTAAAGTGATCATGTTCAACACAATTACGGAGAATACGGCTACCTCAAACTTGCTGTGCGTCACCAATTTGAAGATTTTTTGTTGAGTAGGGTTCTGTATACACAAATAAGTGTATTAGTTGGGAAAGTAATAATTGTGAAGAAATGGAGAGAAAGTACAAGGGAAAGGGGGGAACCTGTATCATTAGCAAAATATTTTTGAGACTTTCCTCTATTTTTACACTTTTTCTAGTAACAGGTGGGAAGAATTGTGGGCAAGATCATGCAAAAACCTATAGGGATAAATTAATCGGAATAAGCTTTGTCTTACCTCTGGTGGTGGAATTGTTTTCTTGGGTTTTCTGTTCAACATTGTTCTCATCGTTTTATAAAAGTTTTTCTGACTTTCTGTTAGAAATGCTTCAACAGCTGATGATGATTCAGTCTACAAATAGAAGCAAATTGTTACCATCATACTTTTCCTTACTGAAAACAAACCAACGCACGACGATTCAACGAACCTGTTTTCTTAGCTTCTGAAAACTTTCGATGATGACACCAACAATAAGATTCAATATGAAAAATGATCCGATCAGTACGAAACAGAAGAAGAAAACATATGAATATTTGTTTGCTTCTCTGTACGGCTGTTCATCAACATTTACAGTATCGCTAGCATCTGCCATTATCTCAATCCAGCCTTCAAAAGTAGCCTGCAGAAAGAAACAATACATTGTAACAATAATCTAATAATACAGAGGCTACAAAAATTACAACAAATTTCACCTACAAATACTTGAACTTACCACTTGAAAAAGCGCTATCATGCCATTGAGTACATTATCGAAATTGATTCTCGGGGTGATCCATCTATAATCGGTATGTTGTTCGCAAATCGTCCGATTCGGTACAATAGTGTGGTTCAGTACATTGCCTTCTAAATCTTCACACCTACATTGTGTAAATATAAAATTGAAATTCATAAAGCTCCGTACTCATGGAATTATTCACTTACTGTGGGAAGTAATTGGTAGAAGCATGGGTTTATTATAGTGTTTACGATAAATTTCGATTCCGTACCTGTAGAATCTTCCTTTGAATTGCTGAACTCCGATAATGCTGAAAACAAGCCATAACAGCATACAGACGCACAATACGTTAGCAATTGACGGGATGCAATACACCAATGCGTTAACGACGACCTGAAATAATTGAAAAAATAACTTTTAGAAGTTTATAGATTAGTGGAAGATCTATTAGATAGTGTATGACAATATACAGTTGCGAGGTATTGAGAGATGTTTCATATACATATACATAGTGCAAACTGGGCACTTTCTTGTTGATGTCGATCCATTTTTAATTATGCAAACTCCTGTTATGTAGTCTACATCTGAACAAAGTTATCTAGATTCCAGTCCTATGTTACGTTATACTAAATCGGCGCTTTGAAAACCATGGTCTAATCCTGTGAATTGACGAACTTACCCTCATTCCTTGCCACCTAGATATTGCACGTAAAGGACGTAGTGCTCTCAATGTTCTCAAAGCTTTTAAAGATTCGACTTCCCCAACTGCAGATGCTCCAATACCAATCCAAGAAATCTGAAATTACCAATATTGAATAGCATTAATTAGCATTACTAGCACATTTGCGTGCGAAATATGAGAAGTATTATCACTAGAGTCTACTATTAATGAATTCTGGTACACATAGCAGCATAGCGTATAATAATAATTAATGCTTACCACGACGATGACGAAATCGATGATGCACCACCAATTGGTAAAATATTTGGACCATCCAATTCCGATCCATTTTAAAATCATCTCTATTGTAAAAATAGTTGTGAAAACATATTCCAAAATATTTAGAACTTGCACTTTTACTTTATCTTCTTTAAGATACACGTCTTCCATCGCCTGGAATTGAGAAATTGTTTGTTTGATTTTTGGGTAGTCACACACAATCAAGCAAGTCCATCTTTTGTTCAAATACTAGATCTTTTAAATAAATTCAAATGTCTCTAGCCTAAGTAAAAATAATATTATTTTCACCAAAATTGGTGTATTGTTTGTTATACGTGATCTGCGGTGCTAGAAGTATACGAAATGTAACCAAATGGCTTACGCATAAAGAGAAAAAAAGGGAAACATATGAATGCAAAGGCAGAAACTGTGTAGAATCCAGATCGGGCCACCTGATGTTGTTATGGGAAACAGCAACTCGGCGTCCCAAATTACTATAATACTCAACCCAAATGAATTTTTTAAATTCAAGGTGACTGTTAATTTACATTACGCCTTGTATTCAGTGAATGATTTCGAACGATTTGTTTGTAATTAATTATTTAAAGTTTCTAGTTTTTACTTACCAAGCAAACAGTGCTTGCCAGAATGATGAATAGAATGAACCACTCAAATATTTGATGACTAACAACTCGAAATATGAAGTTTCGGAATATTTTCCATTTTCGAAACAGACAATTTTCGCCATATCTGTCGCAGCAGTTGCACCTAAATTAAAATCAATGTCACATAATACTTTAACTTGATAATATAAAAATGAAATGTGTTGAACCAAATTATATAACTAATTGCGGAAACATTTGTCACATTATTTTAGCATAACTAAATACTTAAAATGGTCAAATAGTGCACTGTAATCTAGGCGGGATGATATTATAGAAAGTAGTATGCGAAATAACTAATTTCGACATCCAAGTCAAAGCACACATTCCATTGAAAATGGTCATAGTGAACAATAATATACGCGAAGCAAAATCTAGACGATAAAATGTTCGAGCAGTGTTAACGATAAATGTTATTTCACCTTCAATTTTAGGCATTGTTGTCCAGTGTACAGAACTATACTCTCATGTACTATATACTTATTGTCACTTATGATGCTTTAAAATAGCTACACAGCATAATATCGTGTTGAGGGTTAGTTCCTGTGTTGTTTACAATTTTGTCAATTCTATTTTGTGATTGATGACTCTTCAGATCAAATTACTCGAAAACACTGACCAGTGCGTATATTTAGTTCGAAGTTCTTTTGTTCAATAATCATCCTGTCATGATTGACAGCCTGGCCGAATGACAGGCAAAGGACACAAATAATTGCACAAAAATAGTATCTCGGTTTACAACTCATTTCACTTATACATGGGGTATGGAAAAAGCTTGAAAATTACCCTAACCTCGTTCGGTTTATACCGGCATTTATCATTTACATGTCTAGTTTTTACTGACGTCGGTGGTCACTTACGACAATTCACTTGCCGTTTCAATTGTCTATGCCAGCTAATATTGAACATGCGTCAGTTGTTTACTGAAGATGAATATCACTCACCATTGAGGAAACAAGATGGGGCATTCTTCGGTTTTGTTTTTTTCTTCTGTTCATGTTCCATGTGATTTCATATGGCGTGTCTTCAGTTTTTTCAATTGGCCACTACGATTTTACGTTTCCTTCTCATTTTCTCCAACACAAGGAGGCACAACACTTTTGTACCAAGGTAGCTTTATTTGAACAGCTAAATCTGATTCTTCAATGCCATTTTCTGCATCGCCTTGTCTTTTAGGATATACCTGTAAAATATACATAGAATTATATGCCACTGAAAGTCACAAAGTATTCATGGCTTATTTGAATAAACAATGCAAAAATTTCGTCAATGAGTGTATTTTGTATTTCGTTCTCTACCTTGCTATTTCCTGATACAGCAAAAGTGACTTTCTTCGAGACTGAATTATTAGCTGCATCGTTGTCTTCGGTACTGTTGGGTTCGTTCTCGTCAACTTCTTGGATTGTCTTGGTACAAAATTTTGATTTCTTTATTGTGACAGGAGAATCCTCGCTGAATGAAAAGTTACAATACAGAAATACTTACATTTACAGATATGTTTGTAACCTAAGGAACTTTCAAAACTATTACAAGTTGAAAGTGGGTATTGAAAAACATTAGTAAAACAGTAGAAAAGTGTTTATTACAGTTGTGCTGTACAATGTTCAGTCTTGAATGAGCACCTGATAATGGTAATGAGATGACTAATTATACTGTTATAGAATATAATGAGCCCCCGTCTCAAAATTGCTCCCAGATCAAAAATGTAAAGTAAAAATGTAAATCGCATTAAAGTGGAGCAACAGAATCAGAAAATTTGCCATAATAACGTGAGCAATGAGTACGAGCAGGTAGTCAGTGAGTAAGAATAATTCATATCTTAAATTCGTGGAATTGGAGATAAAACGTAAAAATGGCTTTGTTTTCGCAGAAAATTGACAAAAATATGCCAGAAGCAAAGTACGCAAAACATAGCTAGCGATCAGCTGTAATACACACAGTTATTTGGTCATGCTACTCTTTTAGCATACAAAAGAATTTTTGGAACAATGCCACAACGGGAGGGAAAACAAATACGTTCCAGAAACTATATTGTTACAATATTCGTCATGTGGTTTGGTCAGATTATAGATGGTCCTGAGATACGAAGCACAACCGAACATACGACAAAGCGATGTAATTTGAGTATATAGGATTGTATAGATAACAGCTCTAATTCAATCAAGCTAAATCAATCGTTTGATCCGATATTTCGAAATGACTTTAATGGCGAGAGGGTTGTCAAATCACTTTAATGTACTGTTTAACAAACAGAAAGCAACAAAGAGAGATGTCACAATTTCAGTGACGCCTTCATGGGTCACGAACTCAACCATTAAGATTAAGGAATTCCTAAAATCATTGCCATCATTTCATAAAAATTATAAATTCAAAGTTGAAACAATTGTTGTCACAGGAAGACACTGTGCTGTAGGAAATTGTCAGTAACATTCTCAGGATAATATTTATCTGGTTTGTTGAGCTTAATATATTTGAGTGATACTAATGTATTCTTCCAGATAAAAATAAAGTTAGAAAAGAATAATAGAATTACTTACCTAATTCTTGACTGCTTTGTCAATGTCCCTTGCCTACGTGGTCTTGGTCTGAACGGATGGTCATTTGGTGGGCTTGGGCTGTCTTGAGAAAACGATCTTTTTAGTGGAGGAGGATTTTTCTTTATTGTGATACTTTCAGAGTCTTCTTCGGAACTCTCGTCGAGCGAGAGTGCTCTTTCTTTTTGAGTTGCTCGATGCAGAGCAAATATGTCAGTTGCAGACATCGATCGTTTAGGTGAAGAAATCCCAGAATTCAAAGTATTTGTGCTGCCTGTAGTTTCATCGTTGTTTTTAGGCTCTGAATGTTTAATATGGTTAGTCGAATAGGATATAGTTACAGCTAAAAAACTTCAAATATAAAATAAATGAAGATAGAAGAGAGAGAAGGAAAAATGAAACCACATACCGTTCGCATTATGCGTTCCATTTTCTTTGTTTTGATTATTTTCATTTTCCTTGCAATCGTTCGCAGCAGTAGCATCCACTGACTTTCTACTTTGTGATTTTTTCAGCAATTTTCGAAATCTCTCGACCCCCTTTAAAATTGATAGAAATTTTTCATTTGATTTAATGCAATTTTACTACGAAAATATTCGTAAAAACAGGCATTTTAAGGTTTGAAATTTGTCTGTAAATATTGTGAATGTTTTATTTAAATATAAGTACTTTTTAAGCTGGAATATATTTTTTAAACCATACTACAGCTTATTTTACTGAATATAAAGTAATTTTGCGAGTCTTGTCGTTCATTTCATAACTAGAACGCGATAAACCAATTTGACATGCCTCCGAGTAATACTCATCTCTCATAAAATAGCAATAATCGATAAGTGTTTTTCTTACCAACTTCAGTTTAGCTGTTTTTTGATCTACTTGTTTTGACTTGAGATTATCAACGTTGAAAGCTTCCAATAATATAGCGGTGAAAAGGTTTAACACCTACGAATGAAATAATTTTATTATTACAGAGATATCGCTTCATCAAATAATAGGGGACAAGGAATAAAGGTCCATTGTAAGTATTTGTTATTGAAACCAGCCTACAGATATATATTTTAATTTCAAAAAATAATTAATCACTTTTATTAAATCGATCGGTAGATGAAATCGCCCCATCGCAGTATTTGGTTTGGTCATGACATAGAGAAGACAAAAAAAGTTTCCATTCAAAATATCGATCAAAGTCATAATTAAATACGAAGAAAATACAAAGTCATAAATTTTAATTAGATAGTCGCACGCCAGCAAATATGAGCTTAATTTATTTATTCGAGCTATTTCATGTTGAGTGGCCGATCCATGGTTTTCATTATGCTTTAAGAACTTTTTTAATAAAACACAAAGGGGTTGTTCCTCATAGTAGAAAGCAGCTTTGGGTAAATTATCAAAGCAATCAAATAGAACGATAAACAATTTGGCGTGTTGTAGTGTATCTTATTGTTCTTCGAAGTTAAAAAGTAAAATATATTCAAGCAATACCAAGATTCAAAAATTTCCGTGTTTTATCGCACGTACTTTTTTAATATTGAAGGGAATAAATATTAAAAGTACTTTCCAAGAACTTGATGCTTTGTATCATAAATTAATTTCATTATTGAAATAAACATACAAAGTTGAACTGAATGGATTCATTTCATTTATTTAACTACGTAAATTATTTTCAGGATTGTAGTATTAAAACTAATAATAAATAGAATGATGCGCCGAATAACCATGAATGCTTCGCTTTTACTGATAAAATATTTTCTGCAATCAATTTTTGATAAGAATTGTGAATTATGTAGTGAAACTTACAAGAAAATTCCCTATGAATGTCATCAACAAAAATACGGGAATGCATGAAGCATCAACCAACATCATACAATCGTGTAAAGGTTCTATCCATTCACCACACATAACTCTCCAAACTAATAGAAACGAATGATAAAAATCGACGAAATTCCAACGAGGAACCTGACCGTCGTCGAATTTATCGCCTGAGTTAATGTAAGCATGACCAAAGAGTTGTTTTCCTGGAAAAGATAGACAAACATATTTATTTGAGGCATTAAATGGCTGAACAAAGTATAAATCCTAAATTTTCACAACAATAAAAAATTAATCACTGTATTTAAAGGCACCTTAAATTTACATTGGAATTTCTTCAAAGCGAAGCCTATCAAAACAAGTATGAGTCTACGGGTGGAGATGGACATGAGCAATATACTCATCAGGTACGTTAAGAGTAAAAAAGGGTTTCACTGTAGCATATTGGTGAACGAATGTGCACTCAGGCAATATATGTTATAGTTGTGGTTGGGCCATTGTTCAATTGGAGTGAGTAATTCAATAAATATTAACAGAGAAAAAAATAATTCTGATATGAGTATCTTACCTACAACAGCAAATATGAAAAGCACCATAAATAGTACAATTGTTAGATATACAACGGCACTCAAACTTTTTAAAATAATAGACATCAGTTTTCGCATAGTTGTCCAGATGCGTGCAAGACGAAATACTCTCATCTGCAAAAAATAGCAAATTTAATTATTTCTCGTCATTTGGCATCAACAGCTAACGTCATTACTCTTTTGTGTAATATCTGTCAACTTGACAGAAAACGAAAATATAATTTGCAATCAATCGCCTTGAAATCAAAAATGATGCCGCTGTATGCTTATAGTACATTTTATAAGACGTTCTGCCTGCATATATCTCATTATATAATTTTTTTCTGATGATAATCGATCTTTATATAAGTCTTTTTATTAGATTTTGGCTTTTTCACAAAGTTCTACGGTAATTGCGTCGCTCAATTGTCATTATTAAAATTAATATATCATGTATATAAAAATTAAACATGGCAGCGTAACAATACATATATGTGTGTATGTTGGTATAAAGCTTAGTACAATTTAGCTTTTCAATAAAAATCAATCAAAAGGGGTTGTAACATATAGGAACAACTATTGAATGATGACACCAATCATGCTACCATCAAATTCCTTTTTACCAACTTACCAGTCTCAAGCTTCTCAGAACTGACAAAGCACCGGTACTGGATGGAATCATAAATTCAATAAGACTTATTAAAACAATTGTAAAATCAAACACATTCCAAGGATTTCTGAGATACTCAAGAGGCGACATGGCAAAAATCTTTAAAACAGCTTCGATTGCAAATATTCCAGTAAAAACCTGTTAAAATATGAATAAGGAAATTCAGTGTCAGCACTATGTATTACTAAATATAAAACTGAATATCTAAACCTTACAGCCTTTCGCAACAACACATTTTATTAAATTACATGAATACGGTCATACTCAGTAAAGATTTCACAATTTGAAATACTTGAATCTTTAAAATATTTTAAACGACAAGAAAATATAGCAAAAGAAAGTAATATAAACTTACATAGTTTCCATGAATGAGAACGCTTTCGAAAGTAGGATGTATTTCATGATGATCCATAGCAAGAAATGCTGTGTTTGTTAAAATACTGAGGACGACAATACCCTCGAATAGTTTATGTTCAACAATCTAAAAAGCACAAAGGAATAGTGACAAATCGTACGTACAAATTTCTGTAAATAAAAATATGCACAGTTATGTACAAGTGATGAACATTACAATGTGCTGATAACTCAAATATTTCAAGTAAACCATTTGCGTCAAGTAATTTTATAAACTGAGTGAATCGAGAACTAAAAAAGTTCAAAATCTTCTGATTCGTAAATAAGACAGTTCGCAATTGTAACCCATAAATGTAATTTTCAATCAATAATTATTCACGACACTGTCACAATACATGGATACAAATATTCTAAGTCTCTCTCAAGCTTTGAAGTTTTTTTCTTGTCACCTGACGCACACATATATTTAGGTCTCTAAACTCTAAAGTATAAATGAAAAGTATTCTATGCCAAATATCAGCCATGAAAATAGAACAGACCGTGCCTTGAAGGTCCAAACGATGTAGTAAATAGAAAAAAAAATTTGGCAACTAGAAAATCTTAGCTCTGATATCTTTGCCATGATCCAGGCAAGCTAGAAAGTTGGGCTTCAAAAAATATTTCAAAAAATTAATTTAGCCACAATGGCTGAGATGAAAAATTCGTTGTCACCTTCAGAAGAAAGTTCTGGAATTCAACAAATCTTGGGTGACACGACCATGAACAACATGCTCCATGGAATGAATTATATCTCTTACAAATCCATTTCTTCCATTCTGGTACAGTGCTTGAGGCTGTTAAAAATATGGAACGAATGAAATAAAAACTAACAAAACAAAAAACATATAAAACAATAATAATGCAGAAAGGTCTTGTAGTATTGACATGACTAGAAATGACGTTTTTCCATAATATATAGAAACAATAAAATTATTCTCATCGACACAAAAAAATTGTTTAATTTTAAAATATTCAACATATCGTCTGAAGTTTTAATTACGGAGAACCTCTCATCCAGAAGTGATTCTGTTAAACCTCAAATATAATAAAATAGATAATATATAGCAATGTTCAAATTTGAATGCATAAAAGGTAACCTCATATCTAGCTATTAGAAGAGATTCCTTAAAACACATTTTCTTACCTGATTCAGAGCTTTCAAGCGATATATTTTTTCTGCTACTATTTCGAAATGTCGCTCTTTTAGTATCTTTTGAATCAGAAAGTTTTGAATAACTTGGCTCTCTCGTCAGTTGATTGTCGTTTTGTGATAAATCCCTTTCCGAGTTTCCTTTTATAACTATCGGAATTTGAGAACGAGAGTCCTGCTCTTCTGTATTATCCTTCTTGATTGCACCAGAAACAAAATTCCTCTTTTTTTCTGAACCTGAGTCGCCATTTCCGGTATTGACGTGTAGGCCACCATTTTCAGCACGCTCTCGCAAAGATGACCCTATTTGATGTTCTACGACGTCCCCGAACGAAGCAGGTGATTGTAATTTCTGTTTCGCCCTTTCCATAAGCAATCGACGTCTTTTGTTTCTGCGACGTGCGTTTTCTTTAGCTCTTTCGCGCATTTCGCGCAGTTTTGTCTGTATTTGAAATTACTACGTTACTGATACAGAAAAATAAGCTTGAAATGCTTGCTAGTCATTAACAGCAATAAAAATAAAATAATAACATTTATAATTCTAGAATGATTATAATATATTCCGTGTCTAGTATAAGCAAAGAAAGACCTCGGCGATCCGTAATTATTGATTTATTCTTTATTGGGGAGAAATCGGCTAGAGCAAATTATTTTACCTGTTTTTCGTGTTCTTTACTGTAAGCAAGAGTAACGACCGCCAATAACAAGTTGAGTAGATAGAAAGGCCCCAATATGACTGACATAAAAAAGAACAAAACGTTCCACGCACCTTCCGCACGAATAATCTAAAAAAAATGCTTTTCTTGAGAAAATGAGTATTAGTAAAGGCATATAAGCAAAAATTGATTAACGCTTATGATTCGAAAAATATTTCTGATAACCAAACCAAGCAGTAAAATGGGTGGAATTGATATTGTCAATCTTGGGGAGTAATCTTGATTTGTATTCGCTTTAGTATTGCTAATATTTTTTAGTTTTTTATTATAAATATAATACTTATTTATCTATGTAAACGTTATAAACTACCAAAGCGGGAGTGCAACTTAGGCGAAAACTAGCTAAGGATCCATTAGAGATTGAACCAATTAAGTAATTTTTATACCTATAGTGAAGGAGGGATGAGAATTCCAAATAGGCAAAAGGGAGAAATTTATAAGAAAGGATTGGGAATCACTGGCTTGTGGTTTAAAGTATCACAACGGTTTTAGTCTTCAAATATGAGACCTTATTTCAAGGTGTCAATGCTTGATATATATTGCACTAAGATGATCTGTAAATATTTGTATAGGATAGACGACGCTTAGAAATAGGTGTCAGTATAAACAAAATGTAAGATTACAGAACTTTGCTACACTTCCTCATCTGATTGGACAATGTTGATATTTCTTATGTTAAACCCATCAGTGCGTTGCTTATTTCAAAATCTTTTAATCTTTCCGTTCATATCAATTATTCAAATATCTGAACTCGCTAGGAACAAATTCGGGCTTTGGCTACATTTTTATGTTATTTGCCGGCCTAAGGTTTTCATGTACGCTAGACTTTTTTGTGACGCTCTGTATAGGGTGTGATAACTTGGGTGTTAAATACTCATTTGATCGAGGTAGACAGTCACGTTTGTTTAAGAGCTGGCTGATTAATCTCTCAGACTCTCGCTCACAGTAAGTAGCTTTCTAAAATCCATTACGAAATATATCTCTCAACTTTTAATCCAAAAAAGCAGAATCTCTTACGGAAGTGGAGGACCTTGGAATTCTTAGTAATTGTTAATACAATTATAGTAGATTTTACCATGTTATAAACATTCTCCCAAAAGTCTAACGTCAAAAGCTGAAATGACGTCAGCATTGCCCATCCAAAGTGATCGAAATTAGTAAGTCCGTGATTTGGATTTTCACCAACGTCCTGCATACACACATATCCATCAGGACATAGTCCACTCGAAGAAGCGTTGCCGCAAACTTCTTTCTCTCCAGACACAGGATTCCAATTATCTAAAAATTCGAACGGAATATTTATAATGAACTCGCTCAATACATGATGGCTACAGATCCCTGCAACAAACAATATGAGAATTGAACATCTTTCAAGAGAAATTTTGCCTGAAAGTAGAT